AGTCTCTCAAGATGGCTCTGGCACCCTCCAGAAATAGCTGGTTTGCCACTACCTTCTACTTACAGGAGAACAACAAGTTTGGATCTAACCAACCCCCAACTTTACCAAAATTAATAGGAATTATTTAACACCATGTGTTCAGAGACAAGATTTCTGTGGTACTGCCTGAAAACTCAGAGACACTCTGTTCAACCTTTGATTTCACAAAGGTCTCCCAAAAGCAAATTAGTAAAAAAACTCACTCTCATCCAGGGTTTTACTAACTGAGAAACTCAATCCTGCTAAACCCAGAACTCAGTATATCCAAAAGCACCAACACTGACACTAACTTGTAAGACAAATGAAACTTAAAACTTCCTAGTATTATTTTGAGCCAGCAATGTCACTTCCTAAGTTTATTGCCTCAGTGATAAGAGAGAGTAACATTTTCTCTCCTGAACTCAGCTTTAAAGAAAGAGGAACATGCCAGCCCATCCCTAAACCTGAGGGAGAGCCATTGTCTCTCCAAAGGAGCACTCAAAGCCCATCACTGTCAGATTAAAAAGAAGCAATTTTTCTTCTTGTCACCTCAAAATATTTTCCCACTGGGCAATTATGTTCAACTTTGAGATCTCTAACACTGGGTGTACTATGACCTGTAAAATACTAAGCACCTGCATACAGCTAGTAAGAAGGGAGCAGAGCAGTTCAAGAGTTGAGCACAGGCAGCTCAGAGCAGATTTGCGACAGTCACTGCTGTTCTCCACCTGAACATCTGCAACACTGCTTTGTTATCAAACACAGCACCACGCTCTGCTCCCCTGCCCTTGCACAACTGACACACTTGCTCATTACCATGCAAATAAAACTCCACCAGCTTGTCATTCTCTCCATGACTAAGACTCTTCGCACAGTTATTTCCTCAAATTCACTGTTCCTCTTCACCTCAGACGAGGGTTCTTAGTGAGCCTTGTGTTGAGCTTTTGGTTTTTAAAGGGTTAAAAAAATAATTTACTGTGTATCTGTGCTTTAAAATACACAGTAACCTCATGGGAACTGACAAGTAACAGTCATACCTGAAAGAGCAGGTGGGGTGTAAGGAGTAGCAAAACTTCACAATAGAGTTACCTCAGGGGTATGTGGAGAGCTCAGGAAGCAACTCCAAAACTCATTTCATTCAATTATTCAGAGCAGTTTCTCTAACTTCCTTTCCCATCTCCACCAAAGAGGTGTATCCTTGGATACCTATGTATTTTTGCCTCCCTCCAGAGCCAGCTCTGGTGGTTTTGGACTCTACACAGCACAACGAGGAACTGAGAGTCACTCAAAGGTTCCACTCCAAGTTAACTTGGTGGTTTCACCTTACTCTGGCTGAGTTTCTGCCTCCTGGGGCACATACAACCACTTCCTTATTTTTAAAATTAATTTTTTACCAGCCTGAGACACACTGAAAGAAGTTAAAGATCCAGAAATACTTCATCAAAACATGTAAAAGAATAAAATACTGTGTTGCTTCAAAATTATAGTAAACCTTTTTGTCTTTAGGAAACTTAAATAAAATTGCAGTTTGTATGAAATACACCCATCTTCAGAAAGAAGCTGGGAATTAAGGATGTTGATAGCTGAGTTGGAAAAAAACCCAGCATAAAACAACAGCTACTAGGAAAGCAGCTGCTTTTATTCAAGACTTGAGAAAGCAACAATGTTCTCTCACCCTATGAAGGCTGAATTTAGGCTTGTAACTTTTCAGGGGGTTGAATGCAGTGAGTAGTCTTGATGGACAGGCTGAATTCTGAAGATTATGAACAGCTGACAGACAAAGAATACTTACTTATCCTCAGATCTTTAGCACAAACTAGGAAAATACTTGCTGAAAATTTAACTGAGACAGTAACCTGTTCCTGTGTTCCAATAAAACATGCATCACATTTACATGAAAAAAATAATGTACTGACTAATAAAAATATGCAAAAATACAGCAAGGGGAAACCAGAACAGCTTATTTTTACTCATCACAACTGGAAAGAAGGCAAGAGAATAACCTGTCTGTTCCAGTGCTATTACAGATGTTTATCTATGGTACTCAATTGTACATCTAATCAGCCCAACTCCATCTGTTCTGTGTCACTCCCCTGCAGCTCATTAAGGAAAACAAACAAATACAGTTAACAGTTGTGTTACTCTAAGAGAAAGAGAAGAGGAAAAGCAGCTGCAAGTTTGACTTCCAGGATCTGGTCACAAAACTCCAAGACTCTCTGGCTCAACTTGTAACTGAAGTTCTCAGAAAGTCTCAACACTTGTATCACATGTGGACTCTAGGTTTGGGGATTTTTTGTGAAAAACAGAGAAATCCCCCTGACAGGCATCATCAGTTGACCTGATGTTGAGATAAGAAGGTTGATCTGATCCTCTGAAAGTGCAGTAGTCTTCTGTGAAGCAACTTCACAACCCAACTCAGCACATTTCTCTGATGTAAAGAACCAGAAACCAACACAGGCACAACACTAAAACTGAAAGAGCAGAAATGGTGACTTTGAGACAGTCACATTGAAAAAAAAAAAGAGCTGGACACCAATTCTAGGAAGTTCTCGCAGCCTCAAAAAGTTGCTAAAAATCTTCCTACCTCACCCACCACAATCTAAGGGCAGTCAATACTTTCTACCAGCAGAAATGCTGGTAGAATACATATAGGAACTATATAGGATAGAATATAAGTTAAGGCAGCTGGCAAACATCAAAATGCAATCAGAGGAGATGGGGAACATACAAAAGAGGCCGAACTTCCCTCCCTTGGAGCAGCAGGAAACCCTGCTGCTCTTGGTCCTCCTGCCAGCAACAGGTACTCACCGGGCGGGCCTGGGGACTCAGGTAGGGCTCAAAGTCATCATCATTCAACCCATCTTTTTGGTGCACAGAACCGTTTTGCACTGGGAAGAGATGTGTAACGTTAGGAAAACCTATGCAACAAGCTCTCATTATTACCAGCTTAAAGTATTTAAAACCAAACCCTAGACTATCATGTACTTCTGCCAATTCTAACACAGCATACTCAGCCCACGGCACACAGACACTTTCCCACCGCACAGGCATCACCTGCAAATTATCCCCAGCCCAGCAGGCAGGCCTGGTCGCAGGGTTTATTTCCCTCCCGGCAGCAGGATGCTCCTGCTCCCAGCCAGGCCCGCCCGGCCCCCCGGCATCTCACCTTTGTTGCCTTGGCCCTTGGGTCTCTGGCGCGACAGCAGCGACGTGGGGAGAGAAAAAGGGAAAGCGGTGAGTCAGAGGAACCGACCCGGCTCGGGTGGGGATACAGACCCAGCCGAGTGAGGAGAGCACAGATCTGGGGTGGGTAACAGACCAGTCGCAGCGGGGGAAGCCAGCGCCGGGCAGGGACAGACCCGGCCCGGGCAGGGGAGAGATCCGGCCCGGGAGGGTCGAGCCCTGCGGGGACAGGCCCGACCCGGCCGGATCACAATGGAGCGCGGCCCTGCGACGGGAGAGGAGTGAGGCCGCAGCCGCCGCCCGGCCCGGGGCGCAACCCTTTAGGCCCAGAGGCGCGGCCTCGCCCGGCAGGGCCGTCCCGGTACCGGCGGGAGGTCTCCTACCTGCTCCAGGAGGCTGCTAGCCGACATGGCTCCGCGGCGGGGCTGCAGGCGGGGCGGGGCGGAGCGGGAGGCGGCGGCGCTTTGTCCGGGCCCGGCGGGCTCGGGGCTGCCCTGGCGGACTCGGGGCGGCCGCCGGCAGGGCGGGGGGACGCTCTATCCCACCATGCCCACCCCACCCCCGGCCGCGCGTCTCTATGGCCCGGGCCCGCCGCCTCGCGCTCCCCCCGCGCGGTCACGCGGCACCGCGCGCGCCCAGGCACAATGGCGGGAAAGCGGGGGGGGGGGGACGGGGGTGGGGGGGGGCGCAGTGCATGCCGGGACGGCGGAGGATTGGCGCCGGGAGGACCAGCGCCCCCGCTCGGCTGGAAGTGGGAAGACCTCTTAAAGGGCAAGGCGGCCTCGCTGAGATTTTGAGGCAAAAAATGGCAAATTCGAGGCCCGGCTGCGGGCTTAGCCCAACCTCATCCAGTCGCGCCGCGACATTTTAGCTCCCCCCGTCCCCAGTCCCAGAGAACCTAGGGAACGTCTCAGTCTTATGGGACCCCCACCCAGGTGAAGGGGGCTGCCTGCGTGTGGGCAGACATGCAGTGATCGGGGAGCCCAGAGTCACCCCACTTTCTGGCCAAGAGACACGAACAGCTCCAGAAGAATCTGTTGTATGCCTGGGATGGGGAAGGGGGTCCTGAAAACGTCCCCATTCCCCTTCAATCAAAGACCTGAGGAAGCAAGAGGAGAATGGAGGGAAGGTGGCTGGATATGGAATGAGGTGGATCCTTGATCCAAAACCACAGAATCCCAGACTGGTTTGGGTTGGAAGAGACCTGAAAGCTCATCTTGTTCTACTCCCTGCCGTGGGCAGGGACACCTTCCACTATTCCAAATTGCTCCAAGCCCCATCCAGCCTGGCCTTGGACACTGCCAGGGGTCAGGGAGCAGCCACCATTTCTCTGGGCAGCCTGTGCCAGGGCCTCCTCAGCCTCACAGGGAAGAATTCTTTCCCATAACTGCATCTAACCCTGCCCTCTGGCAGTGAGAAGCCATTCCTCCTTGTCTTATCCCTCAAGGCCCTTGTCCAAAGTTCCCCTCCAGCTCTCTTGGAGTCCATTTAGGCACTGGAAGGGGCTCTAAGAATCTCCCCAGAACCTTCTCTTCTCCAGGCTGAGCGTGGGATCTGGCTCCTACAGCTGTTCCCACTTCCACCCCAAGCCAGCAAACACTTCCCAGAGGCCAAGATCAGAGGAGCAGTGACCACCCCTCACAAATCAATGTTCAGGAATCCCTGCCCATCCCCTGCTGTCCCCAAGGCGATGGAGGCACCACCTTTACCTCTCCAATGAAAAAAGCCTTGGAGCTTAACTCCATTTTTCCATTTAATGCAAAAAAATAGCCAGACACATCTTCCTGCCCTCCCCCCACCCTCCCCAGGTGTGTTTCCTTTATTTAATTATTTCCAGCCAGGCAGCTCCCACCCTCCCAAACCTCTGCACCTCTGAAGTCACCCAGTGCTTTCCCCCTCCATTTTCCCAAATGGACCTCCAACCACCAAAAAAAAAAGAGGGAAAGTGGGAAAACAGAAGGGTGCACCATATTTCAGCAATGTCCCAATTCTAACCCTGTTAAGGAAGAAAGAAGAAAAAATAATACAAAAATAAAACCACCAAACAAGAAGCGACAAGCACAGAGCAGCCTCAGCACACAGAGTAAACAGAAGCTGTCCTGATCCGAAATCTGGCTCACCCAGAAAGCAACAGCACAACATGCTTTGTACACCCTTAAAGGTCCCTGCGGTGCTGAGCAGCCAAGGGCGAGGATCTGGGTTTGAGCTTGAGTTGATATTTTTTGCCTTATACAAAAGGCTGAAGTGATCTCGGAGTCTTCAAGTGGTGTTTGCAGCACCGAGCCTTGCCAGGCAGGGAAAGGGATGAGGGAAAAGTGCCATGGGAAGAGGAGGGACTGGGAGACAGGGACCCTGAAAGAAGGTCCCAGGGCTTTGCAGCTGGGAAATCTGGACAAGGGAAGGGAGAGAGCAAACAAATACAAAAAAATAGAGATATAAAAACAATTTGTGTGGAGGAGGAGAACATGGACAGTAAATTCATTGTACTGTCAACCTCCTCAAATCAAGAAAAATAATGAAAAATCCCATTTGAGGTGACAGTGAAGGGTCCGACAGAATTCCCTTTCCCTGGGGAAAAATACAAATGAAGTACCTGTTCCACCCCAAATCTGTCACCCCTTCTCAAAGCACATCCACACTCAAGTGTTACTGTCTCTCAAATTAAAGTCTCCGGGCCAGGGCAGCCCTGGAGCAGAAGCACCGAGGCATGGCTAGTTCCTCCTGGTTGGGCTGTCCAACAGAGATCCAGTCTCTCCTTGACCCTGGTGGTATTGTTCAGTGCTCCACAGAGATGGAGCCTTATCCATGTCTCACGAGTCTCTCCAGCTTTGTTTGAAAAAGAAAAAAAACCTTTACATATATATATATATAAAAAATATACAGTACAATGAAAATATCCATGGTAACGAATGGGGTGGCTGGAAAAGATGCTTAACAAAAAAGCCTGAAATAAAAGGAATTCCCAACTCTTCCCCTAACTGATGCTTGCCTTCCCCACTAGTCTTCCAAGACCACAATCTCCACATTATGGACCTGGTGCTGATGGTCTTCCACATCTCCCACCACTTTCTCTTCAGTCCTCAGCTCTGTCTCCAGGATCACAGCTTTGCCCTCTGATTCCTCTGTGTCCGCCTCAGGATCTGGCGCCGGGTCGATCTCTATGATGGTCTGCCCATCATCCGAGGTACCTTCCACAGCTTGGATGGTGGAAGTGATGCCAGACTCCATGGCCACCAGTTCGACGGGGTTGACCACGGTCGCCACGTTGGCCAGGGCCCCGGTGTCCTGCATGGCTGCTGAGCTCAGCAGTGCCAGGCTGGAGGACGGGTGCAGGGTGACGGTGTCCGAGGAGCTGCTCTTGGAGGATGAAACCACGGTGGCGTACCGGAAGAGCTGGGAGCCAGATGGCAAGGTATGAACAGTCACCGGACTGGAGCCTTGGCTGAGGGTTGCCACTGGGATGTTGCCCACAGAGAACTGTTGTCCAACGGGCGCGATGGCGATGGGGGAGATGACAGTGAACTGAGGCTGCTGGATGGGGGTGGAGGGGCTGAGGATGGTAGCGGAGGCTGGGCGCTGTAGACGGGGTCTCTTGGGAGGCTTGGGAGTGCTCATGGGCATGAGCACCACATTCTGGATGGTTTGGGACTTGGACTTCTGGTCCCTGGCAAGTTTCTTCTGTTCTTCCAGCTGCCGCTCCAGGTCTGCATAGGGAATGGTTGAACAACATGTCATGCCAGGGTAAATAGGAGCTCCTGGGGCTCCAGAACCAACCATCACTCCCAAGTTTGTGACCAGAGGTCACCCAACCACCCAGTGAGTCTGATCTTGGCTTCTCCCTCGAGATCAAATGGCACTGAAGGAAAAAAGTAGCCACCTACATAGACCTGGCCAATGTTCCAGCTGCCAGCGCCTGGGTAAGACACAGGTAACATTCCATACATGTTGGCTTCTCCTACTGACAAGAAGATGGACATTTCTGCTCCCCACAAGCTAAACCCCGCTGCAAGGGAGAGTGGATAAACCCTCCCAGGCAGTTGGAATCGCTTCCTGAGCTTGGCTGGGTCACCTTCCCAGGAGCCAAGCACCTGCACTGGGGACAGACAGTAGGATGCCTGGGTCAATGAAATATCCCCCTCAATGCTTATCAGTGGGAACACTGGGAGCCAGAAGTAGCACAGTGACCTCATTTATCCAGGGCAGTAGGGGACTAGAACATCTCAGATAACAAGAGATTCTACAGTACATGGTGAGGAGGGAGACACATTCAGTGAGCAGCTCTGGGGATCCCAGTGGCTTCAGCTCAGGGACAGCTGAGCAGGACACCCAATAGCACTATAAGACAAGCAAATAGCCCTGATAGCCAAGACAAGCAGAAGTTCAGCACCCTGTACTCAGAGACCTAAGCTTATTGGCTTAGGTACAGCACAACACTGTCCACGGCTCAGGGATCATGGCATAGCACTGAGCTAGCAGCTCCTGTCCATAATCCTGAGGGAATTGGACTCATGCCTGCAGCACGCCCACTGCAGCAAGGGGCACAGACTTTCAGTTGTCCCATGTCCCAAGCAACTGCTCTTTGTGAGACAGGGGAGACACTCAAGCCATACAACAGAAAGGGATTGGGATGCACTTGTTTTGGGGCAGCCTGTACTGAACACTAGCCCTAACTGAGGAAAAGGAAAGTCATGTCCATTCCCAAGAGTAGCAGCAGGATGTGAACTCTTGTTAGGCACTTTACCTGCCAGTGTGTAAAGAAACTGTTCCTCTCCTTGCTCTGTCTGGTTTTTCCTGTTGTCCAGTACCTTCTTGACTGTGTCCATTAAGCCAAATGTATGGGCGACATTGTTCAGGACTGCAGCATCTCCAAGGAAAGGGTACAGGGATGTTAAGACTTGGGCACTCAAAAGATGCTCGTGTTACACCAAAAATTTTCTAACGCTTTTTTAAACTCTCTCTGTGGGCTAGCTGAAAAAAAGGAAACTCAACTCCTTCATCCTTCTGACATTCTAGAATTAAATAACCCCATTCACATGATAAAGCAAATTGGAGAGACCTATGTCACTCAAGCAGCTCCTAATTGCTGCAAATGAAAGTGTAATTTGCAATCACAGAGATACAAACGAGCTCTCCACCTACAAATCATCACCTCATGCTCCTGACAATGTCATTAACATGCCAAGCTCCACTGAAAGCTGTGCAAAATGTCTGTTATAATCCACTGACTTCCATCACTCATAGTTCCCAAAACCTGACACCTATCAGACACAAAGATGCACCAGCCCAAAGTTAAATTAGAAAATTTAAAAAAAAATATCCCGGATAAAATTAAGTTTGTGGCTACATGGATGTTCTCCCAGGAAGAGCATCAACAAAAGGTGTTCACAGGGGCATGTGCCGAACCAGATTAGGGAGCCTGTTACAAATTAAAAATAACCCTAAAAAGGAGAGGGGGATTTATTTTTAACCCAGATAATTTCCCTCATCTGGTTCAGCCCCCAAAACAGGTTTTCTGGCACCAGTGAAAGCAGAACAAGAAGTGAGGGGGCAGGACCTGTTTAGGCCTGCAGTGTCACAGAGAAGTGTTTGAGTAACTCCAGTGCAAGTGACTCTGGGAAAGCTTCCCTCAGGGCTGGGAGCTGTGGACAGTCATCTGATGGTCCGAGCAAACTGCCAGGGTCACTGCTCAGGGAACAGGATGGAATGGTGTATCCTTGTGCTTTGAAGCAAAGGCACTTCACAGCTGGGCACGCTGAGAACACAGACTATGCTCCCACAACTCAGCTGATGAGTGGGAACTCACTCCCCATCTTGACTCACCAGCTTCACGTGGTGGAATGGACCCTTAGCGCTGTTTTTTTTTGCTTGCAACTGCCCTTTTGAGGCTTTTTCCTCACAACCTACCTGTCATCAGGAAGGGAGACTGACCCAACCGCTGCTGCACACCTCTTAGAACTTCTTCTATTTCCTTTTGGATGTTGCACACCACCTCTTCCAACAGCCCCACATCAGCTATTCCTTTCCAGAACATCAGTGTGTCCTCTGGCACAAAAAAGGAGGAAAAGTCAATATATACAAGCATTTGGCATTTTTCCCATAGGGCCACCTTAAACCTCTCAGGCAAGTGCACCTTTTCAAGGTGACTACCTTTGCAAGGTAGCTTAGCTACTGGGGTGCACAGGACATGTGAAAAAAATAACCAACCCCACACCAAGCACAATGGAGTTAGGCAGCAAATCAGGAACAGGTTTTTAAGCAAGTCCATAACTTCCAAGGCAACATTTCACATTTTTGCAAGATGCAGAGCTTAAAATCATCATTTGAGGAAATTCTAGCTAAGGTTCCATACTGACACAACAAGGGGATGGAAGGCCAGAGAGACACAGAACAAACACAGAGAGACAGGGAACAAACACAACTCTGCTCTTTGTTGGTTCCAGCCTGGCTCTAGGCTGGCAGATGTGTTCCACATCCTTGGAAAAAAACAGAAAAACCCTCACTGCAACCAGCAACATCTGATCTAAGGGATTATCCATCAGCCATGAGGCCAGGGCTAAAGTTCTACAGGGGTGAGGAGCTCCATTGGCAGAAAGCCTGGATGCCTGGGTAATGCTGGAGATCCAAGGGGCTGAGGGACAGTTTTGTCATTGCCCAAACTTTACTTATTTGCAAGATTTAGGTTTCCAAAATGTAACAGAGGAGGAGAAGAGAAGAAAACACCCAACAAGCAGCCTAAGCTTACCTGAAATCTCATCCGTGTCCTTTTTCATACCTTCCTCAGTGGCCATGGTGACAGCAGCTGTCAGAGCCGAGTTCCACTCTATCCCCTCCTCCATGCTCTCCTCCGACAGTGCAATCTGGGTGATGCTCCCTGCCAGAAAGCCCTCCATCAGCTCCCTGTGACAGCGTGAATCCCTGCTCTGCTTCCCAACTCCTCAGCCCTCCCCAGGCTCTCTTTCACTCTTTGGGTCAGGTTTGTGCTTGGCTTCTTCCAACCAAACCAGTTAAAAGCAAATATTGCTGCTTCTCATTGGAACTGTGACTGTGAAAAGCTCTGGAGCTTCTGGAGGGAAAACCATGTGCCTTGCACAGTGGAGTCCCAGCTCAAGGGAGCAGAAAGGGATCAGAATAAAGAAGGGAACAAATAAGGCTCAGCCCAGCCACCCTACTCCCCTTGCTTCATCCACAGGAAGCTCTGCACCCCTAATCCCTCACAAAATGAAGCTAGGGTCCGAGCTGGTTTATAAAAGGGAAATGGATCTGACACAATTCTAAGTTTCTGGATCAAATTTGGGACTTACCAATGTGCAGCCACTGTAAGTTGGCTATGGTGCTTTCCAAGAGATTCTCCTTAGCCTATGGACAACTCTGCCATGTCACTCACCCAGGGGCTCAGAGAAATGTAACCCACCCAGCTTAACGATGGGGTACAGCTGGGAATAGTCTTCTCCCTTAACCTCAGCAAAGAGGTCAATATCTGCACTGGAGCACAGGATCACTGAGAACTTGCAGCTGGAATGACAATCAAATCACGTCCAACCACCACATCCTGTTCATGGATGTTCTGAAGGAGGAAAGCCTTTCTAAGTTCACTCCTGAGACTAACTCATGCCTTTATAACAGACTCACAAATGGGAAACATATCGGAAAATGCTGTGCAAGCTCTCACAAGTATTTGCTCCCATGATGATCCCAGAACAAAGATCCCTGCAATGCTCTCAATCCTTCTCCTGGCTATGAAGGCTTTCTCTCTGGAAAGCAGCTTCTTGATGCCAGCTGTTTTCCAACCTTCCCAGTCCCGCAGAGCAGAGCCCCCTCACAGATACTGACAAGACCTCCAAACAGACACGAGAATCATTTTCCTTCCTAGAAACCAGAGCAATTTCCTGGTGGGACTGCCCTGATGTTCCGAGGAAGAAGGTGTAAAGCGTGTGTAGGAGGGAGAGGAGCATCAGAGGGAAGTTCCCATGGCATTGGTAACTGGTTTCCTACCATCAGCTGAGGTTGGAGTCTGCACTACACTCTGCTGCCCTGGCACTGGTGCTCTGGCACTGCTGATCAGGAGATCAAACTTGGTGCTTCGACAGGTGTTGGTGCAAACTTTGTCGTGTTGGTAGAAGTCAATCTGCCCTGAATCCATCATCTTCCTGTGCAGAAAGTGGGGATAGAATCAGGCTCAGCTCAAATCTCAGCCTAGAGACAAAAGGGAGTATTCCACCTGGGAATGCTACAGTCATGGGAAGGAAAGAGAAAGGGAGATCCCAGGGCCACTCTGCACCCAAAAAATCTCCTGCAAGACTTTCAAATGGCAAACACAAGAGACCCCCAGCTTCACACACATAGTTTCAGTGCTATTCCAACCCACGTTCCCCAGGCAATGCCACTTCTGTCCACCCTCACATCATGGAGACAGGATCTCTGCAGGCTGCTGGCCAGTACTGTGGGCCTCCAAGAGGCCTCCTGGGGACTGCAAGGCAAACAAAATGCCTGCTGGGGGTCCTGCAGCTGCAGGGGTGGAGCCCTGAAGTTGGACAGATGTCAAATACCTTAGCATGATTCCTCCGAGGCGAATGGCTCTCTTCCAGTCCTTCAGGGTAGACTTCCCAGCCAGATGAACAAAGTGCTTTGGGCTAATCAGTTGGTCGTTGAACTGGCAACGAGACAAGCAAAGGCTCAATAAACAGGGAAGATTGGAACATCCAATACAGCTCATCTGAGCCCCCACTTCCACCCAGAGAGAGGAGGAGCTGCTTCTCAGATCCCTGCCAGCTTAGATCCCCTGGGCACAGCAATGCTCACAGCTCCAGGAAGCACGTCTGTAGGGATAACCTTCCAACCACAGGCATTCACAGCCCCTAACCAAAGACAGCCCTGAAGGATTTATATGAACCAAATCATCTCCTATGAACATGTATGGTCATTTTGGAGATCATTACAGGAGGTTTCTGTTACATCCAATGGCCCAGCAGCATCCAGCTGACACAGGTCTTCCCTTGAGCATCCATTCTGCCCTGCTCCAGTGACTTGAGTAGTTCCTGCTGAGGGGCAGGAGAACAAGGGGCTTGGCTGTCACACTGCCATGCTCTCATGTGGGAAAACGTAACACCAAGATTTCCCTTCTCAATGCAACCTGCTCACCAAGGAAGTGCCAGGAGTGGAATACCAGGCCACCAAGGAAAAGGGAAGAGGCAAAGCTCTGCCAGATCTCAACACATATCTCCTGCCTGCTTTCAGTCCTTCCTCAAGGGCAAATACCACTGAAATACAAAGTGGGTGATATCCTTCCCTCCTTAATCCACTCTTTCCATGCTTCTCCCCATCAAAAAACAACTTTGGCACCAACAATCCAAGGACTCAGGATGAAACACAAAAACTAAGGAATTCCTATGGAGGCCAACCAGCCCACCTGAATAGCAGAAAGGAATCCACTGGGAGTCTCTCCTTTACCTTCACACACTTGACATTAATTCCTGGACAAACAAACTTCTTCCAGAGAAGGATGGCTTTGCTCTCCCCACAGGTGATGGGATAGGCGATCTCGATTTCCTCACTTGTTTCAAGGGTGCTGGGGTCTGAGGGAGGAACAGCTCAAAATGAAACTTTCCACCCAAGAGGCTCCAATCCCACAAGGCGGGAGCTGGAAGCTCATAGGTTATGAGACCTGCACTTGGGAAACCAAAAAAAAAGGGCAGATCCCAATTCAGGATCAGTCCTCTCCATGTTCTCAGAGTTAGTTCAGATTAACTCTAACAGCAACTGGCATCTGCTTTTTGGTGTAACAATGCTCCAAACGAAGCTCATCTATAAGGAAACATGAAATCAGAAATCCAACGCATCTGTAAGAGGTCTCGCATCTCTTTAGCAGCGATATCAGATATTTACTGATAATTCCTTCTCTTAACGCGCGGAGTTTCTGCTAATCCTGCCAAAAGACCCACACCAACACAGGAAAGCAGAACTCTAGTCAAGATCTAGTGACAGCATCCAGTGACAGGAGCCTTTTCCACACACTGCTCAGGATGGGAGAGAGCAGTTGGAGCCAACCTGCTCAGTTCTTATAAACATCCAATCCAAACCATCAGACGGCTGGTTCAGCAAAGACCCCACAAGTAGAGCCTGATGCTTCAGCTACCACATCCTCATCACTATCATTCCTGCTGCCAGTGTCTGCACCCTGGGACTAGGGTGACATCCCGGCTCCCCTGGACCCCATGGGAGCCCTTATCATTCATTGAAGGAGAGCCAGGATCTCACTTCCAGGACTTTGAGACCAAGCAATAACAGCAGAGTATGCCCAACCCCTTTACCCATATCCATGCCTGGGAAGCAGCATCTGCAGGGGCAGAGCCAGAAGGAAGCCCACCACACCGGAGACACAAGCCCTGCACAGGAGGGGATTCATCCACACCAAGTGGGAACTCACCAATCCCTTCTTCCAGCTTGTGGATGGTGTGGGTTTCCACGGCCACCACAGCAGCGCTGGCCTCGGAGCCCTCTTGGTAAATCCTGTGGTGAAAGTGGCCATCCATAAACAAACTATATAAATCACGGGAAATTAGGATTGACAGCACAGAGTTAAACAATTCAGTAAATTTCTTTTTGCCTGTCTTCAAGGGACATTAATTTTGTCTGATACAGTTTCAATCACCAGGAATTTTTCTGGTGAACACTAATAAAACAAAACACTAGTAATCCCAAGGGCTGACAGACGCAGAGGCATTCCCAGTGCTGTCATCCCACCCTCCACTCTGCCAGCGCCACTGAGGCAGCTCGGCAGGCTTCCCTGTGCCTTTTCCTCTGCTTTTGATCACCCTCAACAACAGGAAGCAAAGACCAGTATCCCAGGATTTCCCTTCCAGCCCTGTGTGGCACTGCAATACAGATGACCACAAAGGGAAGTCACTGGCAGGCCCACAGCCACCCTGCCCTGCAAATATGATCAAACTAGAGCAAGTTTTTTCTTCCATCCTGATTGATCCAGAGGGAAGATAAAGCCACTCCCTGCAGCACGTGCCAGGGAGCTATACAATTCCCTCCACATCCCAGCTCCACTTTATTTTAAAAGAGGATTATTTTAGGGGAGGGCTGGCACAGAGGCACATGAAGGCCTGAACACACAAACCACCACATCCAGCTGCTGCAGTGTGGCAAAAACCAACCCTGGGACTGGAGAAGGAAGAGAGAGACTGGGACAGCACTGCTTCCATGATCTGGGAGCACTGCACCAACACAGACTCGCAGGACAATTTCAGCCCTCGGAGGACCCATCACAACCACACACACAAAAGATTTAATCTGTTATATTTGCTCTCTCCCCTGTGTGGCACAAAACTGATGCAGACCTGGAAACCACAGTGACACTGTGTCCCCGCGCCACGAAAACCCACAGGGCTCCCCCCCATCCCATCTCGCACCTTCCAGTACCATCCTACTCACCCTTGCTGCACCGGCTGGAGCTGCAAGATCACTTGGGTTTTGGTATCCTCTGGGTTCTCCCCTTCATTCCCGTCACTTGGTACAACCACCACGTCACCCACAGGGACGCTCACCTCGGCATTCGCCATCTCTCACATGAACCTGGCACGGTTTTCTCCTCCCTGTGGATCACAAGAGCTGGGAACAGATCCCAGAGGCAGATCCCCCCAGTGTCATCCCACTCATAACTTCCCGAGCCAGCAGCTCTCTCCAGCTCTGAACCCCCAATTTGTCACCAAGGAACAGATCCACATCGGTGGGTTTTGGCAAGAGTGTTTTCAACACAGAGCTTCTCCTGCTGGTCCTGACCAGCAGTGCCTTCAGCCACTGCTGGAATGCTCTGGTCCACCCATGGCATGCTCTGATCTCTCACTACCAGAACATGCCTGTGGGTGATCCTTTGCAGTAGAAGCCGGTGTCAAGGTGTGCTGCTAATGCAGGAGGACCTGACAGGGAGCCCCGGAGAAGCTGCACTCCCAGGGGATGTGCCCATGGTTGCGCACGAGGCACAGAGGTGTTTTTGGTGTGCGGCTGGAGATCATTCCTGCAAGCCTGAGGTCTACAATCTGCTGGGAAGGCCACTCTCAGAATCATGGAATGGTTCAGGTACGAAGGAACCTGAAAGCTCGTCTCATCCCTCCTCCTGCCATGGGCAGGGACTCCTTCCATTCCACCAGGCTGGTCCAAGCCCCATCCAGCCTGGCCTTGCACACATTCAGGGATGGGGCAGCCAGCTTCTCTGGGCAACCTATGCCAGGGCCTCACCACCCTCACAGGGAACAATTTCTTCTCAATAGCCCATCTAATCTCAGAGATTTCAGGCCAGGATGTCCTGGCGGATGACAATGGTTTCGATATCCCCTGGTTGCGACACACCAGGACAAACCTGGGGAGCCGCCAACACAGGGGCCACGCGCCCACCCGGCTCCAGGCGTGGGACTCCGGCGGTTTCCCGCACCTCATCCCGCTCCGGGGGACAGACAGAGCCATCCGGGACCCCTCGAGAGACGGCAGGGCTTCGCCAGGATATCTGGCGCTGGGGGGTCAACAGGGCACGGAGCAATCGCGGCGGCGGTCACGCCGAGGCCTTGAGCGAGAAGGAGGGGGAGCTACGCCAGGCACCTCGCGGTGGCCGTGCTGCGGCTCGGGGGTCGCCGCCGCCGCCGCGCCGGGGTCGGGAGGTCACGTGACATGGGGCCCGCGGGACCACCCCGCGGCGCGCGCGGCGGCGAAGGGGCGTGGCCTGACCGGGGAGGGGGCCCGAGACCGGGGGCTGTGGGACGGGGGAACGGGGGGATGGGGAGGGGGGAGGCGGGCCGGGCAGCAGCAACGCATGCGCAGTACCCGCCGCGGCCTCGGCCGCCAGCACTTCCGGCCGCCGCCTGCCTTAAAGGGGCCGACCGGTGAAGCACGCGGCGCCTTGCTGCTCTCTGGTGGCCGCCGGCAGTATCGCCTTCGCGGTGTCACCCGCCAGCCCAAGCCACGAGTTGCCGGCGGGGGTGTCACGGCGAAGTTCGCTCCCCACTGGTCACAGCAGCGAGCCGTGGAACGCGCTACCGGGCATCTCCCGCCCCAAGCCAGCCCCGGCGGCACCACCGGGACCTCCCCCGGCCGGCCCGTCGAATCCCCCACTGCCTCCGCCGTGCGTCCTGTTGACGGACAACGAGGCAGACCAATGGTGACGCGGGGTCGGGCGGCGGCCGCCAATGGGCGCGGGAGGGCGGGGCCGGGGCGGCAGCGCTGCGGGGCCGCGGCGGGGCCGGGGTGGCGGCGGCGGCGGCGGGAGGAGGAGGAGGAGGATGCTGATGATGCGGGCGGGCGGCGGGGCGGCCTCGGGAGCGCTGGCGCTGGTCTGCCACTGCCTCCTGCTCGGCCCTCTGGGGCTGCGTTCGGCCGGCGCACAGGACGGTGAGTGCTGATTGCGGTGCACCGGCGGCGGGACATCCCACACCGGGACGCGGCACCGGAGCCCCGCTCCTACCCGTACTCCCGGAGCTGCTGCTTTGCTCGCCAGGATGGGACCGGAACTTGGTGCGGTATGGGGACTGGGAAGGGGGACCGGACGGGCTCGCCTCTGCCCCGGGACGGTCCGGGACGGGCTCTTCGCTGTGTCTGGACCGGGATCAAATCAGGATGGGCTCCCGAGAACGGTTCCCCGCTGTGACCAGAGCACACCGCACCGGCACAGGGTCGTAGTGGTGCGCCTGCCCCGGTTCCTTTCCTGAACGGGGTCTCTGCCATCCCTCTGTCACGGTACCGACCCGGGACAGAGTCCCTGGTATCCCTTTGCTCCGGTACCGACCCGAAACGGGATCCTCGCCATCCCCCTGTCCCGGTACTGGACTGGACAGGGTTCCCGCCGTCCGTCTGTCCTGGTGCTGGTCCGGGACGGGGTCCCCAGTATCCCTCTGCTGCGGTATCGGACGGGTGGAGCTCTGTCCTTGCCCCCACCACCCCCGCATCACGCCGGTCCTGCACCCGCCCATTTCCCCGCAGCCCCCCCAGCTCTCCCTGTCCCTGCCCCCGGTGGCGACTGCGCCGGGGGTCCCGAGAGCCCCGCGTCCGGCTGCATGCCGCCTGCAGGGCTTTCCCGGGGAACCCCTAATCCATGGGTTAAGAGAATCCTGGAGTTTACATGCAGAGCCGGGCAGTGGGCTCCGTCTCAGGAATGCCGCTCCCTGCGGGATTTGGAGCCGCGGGGTCCAGGACGACCTCGAGGAAATGTTCACCCAAATGTGATCCCAAAGTTCGTGTTTCCCGGTGTCACTCGTCCCCAGCTCATCCAAGAGCGAGGAAACAACGCTGGGTCATCCAAAGCATTATTTTCCCCGAGGGGAAACTGAGGCACGGGGACCGGCCGGGATCACTGGAGGCAGAATGCCGCTACATTCCCGGTCAAAAAGTGTGATTTGTGGCACATCATGCAGCAGGTTTCCACTGGATCCCCAACCCACTGGTGGACACGGGGGAGCTTTCCCGGGGCCAGCAGCATGACACAGACAGGGATGTGCCGGGCTTTTGTCGGAGCATCGCCCTGTTGTGTCTTTCTTGCATCCTGTGAGAAAACAAACAAATCCTTGGCAGGAATGATCCTAGCGGGGTCCAGCCGTGAGTTCACCCTCGCCCAACGGAAATCCAGTTTTCACATTTTTTTGGGAGGGGAGTAAAGTTTCTGTGGCTGGGGGTAAGTCCCCTGTGGCTCAGTCGTGGCTATTCCTGGCCCCTCAGTGTCATCTTTGGAGCCAAATTCCCAGGAGTGCCTGCAGCTCTCAGTTTATCTCTAGCATTCCCTCCCAGCACGTGCTGGTCACACTCAGGATGTTTCTGACAAAGATTTCCTTTACTTGGATGGGTTTTTCCCGGAATGGGTCCCCACAGCTCCTCTGCACCACCAGTATGGATATAGAGCTGGGGGGATCCATCCAAGACTTCCCACTTGGGCTCACATGTCCAGCTGTCCTGGCCATAGAGGGTTTTCCATGCAGATCCCAGTGGCTTTGACTTTTTGTGCTAGAAACTCCCAAACCCCAAATTTCTCCCACAGCAGAGCACACCTCCTGGCAGCCCTGAGGTCCCCACTGCCCCCCTCAGCCCCCATCTTGGAGGGCCTGATCCTTCCCAGCTCTGTTCTGTCAGTGGACACTGCCCAGAAAGGGGAAAAGTTGGTGATTTTTCCCAGTCCCGCAGGATAAACCTCCCCCAGTTTGGATGCAAGTCCTTCCCACAGGCTGGGGAGGAGGGGACTCTGTGGGGCTGGCATCTTTCGCCGCCAGCCCCCCCTTTTTTATCCCTGCAGGATTTTCCCTTGCTGGCGCTTTGTGTTGTCTCCCAGCGACAGCGAGGGGAGCCAAGGCTGGGCAAATCTATGCCCACCTTCCTTTTTCTTTCTGGCTGTGCCAGGGAATGCTTGGCAGAAGCAACAGCTTTTGGGGGATGTGAGGAGGAGGTGTTGGGCACTGGACCCCTAAAAACGCCTGGCCCACACAGTGGGGCTGAGTGGTGCTTTCCTTGCACCCCAATCCTGCCCAGAAATTATGGCCAGGTCTCAATGCCTGGTGGTTTCAGCTTATTTCCAGGATATTCCCTCATGCCCAGAGGCAGTGAGCCCAGAGAAAAGCCCCTTTTGTAGTGAGTCTGGCATCACCCTGGGAAGGATGCAATGGGGATGCAGCTGTCCAAAGTTATCCTCAAGGTCAAGGCTGCAGTCAGGGGTTCTTGGGGGCTGCTCAGTACTGTACAGCCCCATGGAGTGGGGATATTCTCTCCTTGAATCCTTTTATATCCCCCCAAACTGGGGTTCTCCGGGACTGGAGGATGCAGAGGAGCTGGAGGTAGAGGGTCATGCTGGGTAGCTGTGGGGGAAGCTATTGGCAGCTTCATCCCTGGATCCTCCTGTGGACAGTTCCCAGTGCCAGAAGCATCCAGAAAAGCCACCAGAAAATGATGCTTTGGATGAGGAGAACATCTGAAGAGGCTGCAGGTGCCATGGGGTTGTTCTGGGGTCCTCACCAAGGAGGGAAACTGAGGCAGGGAACAGCCTGTCTGAGCACTCTCCCCGGTGTCTCTGCAGGAAACGGCTGTGGCCACACGCTGTTGACACCCCACAGTGGCACTCTGAGCTCCAAGAACTACCCGGGCACATATCCTAACCACACCATGTGTTGCTGGCGGCTTCAAGCTCCCCCGGGTACCTCCCTGCTCCTGGCATTCGGGGATGTGGATCTGGAGCCCTCGGAGCAGTGTGCCCACAGCTCCTTGCTGCTCGCTGACCCCCAGACCGGCACTGCCTACGGTAAGGAGATCCTGAGGGAACTGAGGCAAGGGTGATCCAATGTTGTGGATAGGGAGAATATCAGGAAAATCTGGGGGTTTAGCTGATTTCACCTTGGGGAGGGAGAATATCTAAGGAAGGGATTAACCAAGTGGGGCAATATCCAAGGAGGCGGGTATTCAAGGAGGGGGTATCCATGGAGGGGAATATCAGAGGATGAGGGGTGTCCGGTATCTGACGAGCGAGTTATCCAAAGAGAAATAATCAAAGAAGGAGATACCTGAAGAGTGGGGGTACCCAAATAGAAGAGTTGATGTCCAAGGATGAGGATATAGAAGGAGAGTTATATTTGCAAATGGGAATATCTGAGGAGGTGGGTACCCAAAGAGAAGATTATTGCGAAGCTTGGGGAGGAACTGCCCAGCTGGGACCAGATGCAGCCACTGAATAATTAATTTGTCGGCCCAGCCGTTGCCTAAACAGTTCCAGGATTTTCCCAGACAGACTTAATGGTCTTGGAGGGATTTGGCAGCACTGGGAACATGATGAATGCTGAGGAAAACATCTTGGGGGTGGGGGGAAGCATCAAGTGGTGGGGTGGGATGGAGGACCAGCCCTGGTGAGGGGCAGGGGCTGGACAGGAGATGCGATGGGAAATGCGGGATGAAAAAGAGCTGGCTTGGATCCATGGGACTGGGAGTTTTCCCTGTTCTTCAGGGCTTTCACCCTTTCTGGGCTGATCCCCAAAGGGGTGACAGCACACAAGGTCCCTGGTCCCCATCCCCTCTGCTGTGGCCTCAGGGACATAATTGTCCCCAAAGCTAAGAGACATCCTGGCCCCACGCTGAGGTACAGCAATGTGGGAAAGTGGGGGACTCTGAGATGATGGTCTTGTGGGGCTGGGGGAGGTGGCCAGGCACCCACAGCCCCTTTGGGTACCACTGGAGCCATGCCAGCATGACACAGAGCTTGGGTTCCACTCTCTCTCCCATGGCTGACACTGGTCCTTGAGAAGTTCCAGATGTTCTCTGGGAAGTGGCTGGAGCAGGCAGAGGCTGTGGGCTTCTTCCTTGACTCAGAGCTGGTGTCTGGCCCCTGGCCTGATTCTGCGGGGAGTGGCAGGCTCCCCATGGGGGTGGCAGCCTCTGGGGCTCAGCTGAGGGGTCCCCAGCTCCCAGGGTATCACCAAAATCCATACAGAGGTGGCACCAGTGACCCAGGGCAGCACTGCCATCTGGCAACCAGTGGAAGGGAAGTCTGCATGTGGCTCATCTGGATCTCATCTGCATATTGTGCAGATCTCAGTTCTGTATGATCTCGGGTCTCTTGTGTGAGATCTCTGCATGCACGTGTCCCACGTGCCCTGGGATCAACCTCCTGGTTCAATATGACCCAGGCAGGATGAGAGTGTGGGTCAGGGCAGAGAAACGGAGGCACAGGGGGAGGTGTCACCAGCAGCCCCAGGGGAACACAGGGACACAGTTGCCTGTCCCCAGCACAATGATGGCTCAAAACATCTCTGGGTTTGATAGGCATGATGGAGAGCAGGATGATATGGGGGACAGGGGGTGATGGCAGTCCAGGGATTGGGACCATATTCTGTCCGCAGCTGGAACCAGAGATGTCCCTAAGGAATCCGCTTGCCTGCTAAGCTGAAGTTTTAATCAGGGAGATAGAATTGCAAATTAATGTGGATTAAATGGGAGGAGGGGCAGTTTAGGAGGCAGCTTCAGCAGCACCTATGAAAGGGGACATGGGGAGGAGACGAGGACACAGCTCCCATTTTGGGGTCCCATGGGGTGATGCCATGTGTACCAGTCTCTGCAATGGGGGATGTGGTGGCAGGTGCCCAATGAGGGCAATGGACCAGCCTGGGCATGGGAACCATCCTGTCATGAGGTTGCCCTGGCCTGGGGCCATCCTGGATGTGAGACCATCCCGAAACATGAAACCATCTTCAAGATGGAACCAGCCTGACACGGGGCCATGCTTCATGGGACCACTATTCAGTACCCTGGTGCTGCGACTACCTTGGGGATGGGCCACCCTGGATGTGGAACAACTTTGGGACCACCCTGAGCACAGCCCAAATGCCTGACCCCCCCTGGCCCTGGCAAGGGCCAAGCAGGGGGAGGTGAAGTCCTGGGGTCTAGGTGTCCAAGTGTGTCCCCAGGGATCCCAAATCCTCTCCTTGGTGCCATCCCTGCTGGCAGGGCCCTACTGCAGGAACTCCGTCCCTTCTGCCCCACTCCTGGTGACAAACTCCAGCACCGTGACCGTCCTGTTCAACAGCACCAGCCACCGCTCGGGACGAGGCCTCCTTGTGTCCTATGCCACCTCGCAGCACCCAGGTATGGGGGCAGCATCCCCTGGGATGCAGAGACACCCCTGGGATGTGTCCTGGCCTGTGCAGGGATGTGAAGGAAGCTCCTTGCTGACCCCAGGATGAGCTTCCATTGCCCTGAGCTCCCGAACTTCTGTGTTCTCCGTGGCTGGGGGCAAACATGGGAGACCCGCAGGTCATACAGCCAGCTGGGACCCCTTTGAGAGCCCTGAACCCCCAAGTCAGGTGGCACCCCAATATCAGGCAGAGCCACAGGCAGCATAGATAGTGCCATGGGGCCAATGGCTGCAGGGACCAAGGGGCCATCCCTCCCTGCTCCTCCACATATGGGGGTGTGGAAGGCAGAGTCCAAATGAGCAGGACTTGGTTGGGAAGGGGAATGGAGTGCTCTGAGGCAGAAGTGGGTGTGTGCTGTGGGGCAGGTGGGGATCCCTCACCCTGAGGTGTCCCTGCCTTGCAGACCTGGTCTCCTGCCTTGTTCGAGGCACCCATTACACCCAGGAGCATATCAGGTGAGTGGTCGGGATGGGGAATAGTCCCATTTTTGGGTCCCCTGCTGTAGGGGTCCCCATCAGTCCTGGTTTCATCCTATCCTTCTTGTGACATACAGCTCCAGTGGGATGGGGAGCAGAGTGGGTATGAAGAGGGGGTTTGGAAGGGAGGGAGCCCTGACCCACCCCTTACCATGTGTTTCAGTGTGTACTGCCCTGCGGGCTGCAAGGACATCCATGGGGACATCTGGGGCAACCCGAGCCAGGGCTACCAGGACGTAAGTGTGGGCACCATGGTGCACCCACTGGGGATGGTCCCCACAGCACATGGCCACTGCTTGTCACCCTCAGCAACCCAGAGGTGATGAGTGTGGCCTTGGGGTGCCCCACGGGGTGCTCAGGCCTACTGTGGGGGACTGCACTTACTCCCCACTCCCTGCAGACATCGGTGCTGTGCAAGGCAGCTGTGCATGCTGGGGTGATTGCGGATGAACTGGGAGGGCAGATCACCCTGTCTCGGGAGAAGGGAATCACACTCTATGAGTCAGCCTTTGCCAACGGGCTCCGCTCCAAAAGGTGGGTGAGGAGTGGCTGGGGCTGCACCCCACATGGAGGTGTGGGACCCACCTGCACTGACACTGGGAAACCACCACCCCTGTTTCAGAGACCCCAGGGTTTGTTCACACCGTTTGATGCTCCCCCTGCTTTCTTCCATACAGGGGATCTCTGTCCGAGAAGCGACTTGTATTCCATAAAGGTATTTTTCCCCATTTTCCCTGAAATTAAGGCATGATTTTAGCTGCCAGACCTGCTGCTACTCCCCCGTACCTGGTTGGGGTTTCCGGGTTTCCAGTGTGCTGTCTCCTGTCCCTAGCCTGTGATGATGTTCTGGAGGTGGTCACCTTCAATGCCTCGTCCTGGTGGCATGAGGTGGACATGCTGGGCCAGGACCGAGCCTGGGTGGCTGAACGGGCAGCACTTAACACCACTGGCCACTCCTGGGCAGCTGAACCCGGTGCCAAGGCTGCCTGGCTGGAGCTGGACCTGGGCACCCGAAGGAATGTCACAGGTGAGAGTTGGCCATCAGAGGGAGACAACAGCGGCCTGTGTCCCCGTGCCACCCTGACCACTGTCCTTCCGTTGTGCCAGCTTCACTGATCCCCACAAAACTGCCCAGGGAAGTTGCACCCCCATAACTCCCAGAATACACTGGAGTTCATTGTGCCGTGGTTTTACTGGTGCAAACTGGGATGCAGAGCACACCAGCCCCTCCGGCTGCTCCTGTCCTCCTTTTGTCCCTTTGCCCCCCTCATCTGCAGCCATTTCTGGGATGAACAAGTTAATATTATGCTCTTGCATCTGGTGCCAGTGAGCGTCTTTTGTGCGGCCCGAGACTGCCAAAAGCAGGGGCTTTGTGTGCCAGTGGCTGGCAACCACAGTGAGGAAAATGGGAACATTGTCCGGCCAGAGGCTGGAGGAGGGAGGAATGCAGGGCTGGCAGCCGGGACTGGAGGTTATCAGTTCGTGGGGGCAGACCAGAGTGTCCCACACTGAAATCTGCCACCCAAATCCCCTCCCAGGGTCAGAAGGATCCCCCTCTGCCAGGTGATGTGTCTTGCCCTCCTAGTCCTTTCCCAGCTCGGTCTTGAATATCTCAGAGCCAACTGAGAGTAGAGGGCAGTGGGGTAGAGGGCAGCCCTTCCCCAGCCCCGCAACCCCTAATTGACAGCTTGGAACCCCCTCCTGCATTCACAGGCATCATCACAAAGGGTTCCTCCGAGCAGCACGACTACTACGTGACGTCCTACCATGTCTCCTCTAGCCGCGACGGGAAGAATTGGAGACCCTACAGAGGCAGCAGTGGTCAGGAGGACAAGGTGGGAGTGGGGAGAATATCCCTGGGCTGAGACCCCCTGCCCATGGATATTTAGCCATTGGCGCCTCTTCACCCTCTCTGGTAGGTGTTTGAAGGAAATGCTGACAACCAGGGGGAGGTCTCTAATGCCTTTATCCCCCCCATCGTCGCCCGCTACATCCGTGTCACACCACAGAGCTGGCACCAGCGCGTTGCCCTCAAGGTGGCCCTGGTGGGCTGCCAGCTGGCACGGGTCCGCGTGCCCCATCCCTATGGTGAGACCCTCCACAGGAGCTCACACCCCCATGTCCGAAACATCCTCCTGAGGCCTTCACCTCCCTATACACCCTGTGGTGGCCCCACAGTCAGTCCCTGCTCTGTCCTGTAGTGCCCAGTGTCCCCAAGGAGGTGCTTGAACCCACCAGCCACGCAGCCAGCTGCACCCCCATCCCTGGCATCGCTCTTGACCCGGAGAAAGCAGGTGGGTTCCATGGGGGGGCTGCCCTTGGGGTGCAGCATTGTCTTTTGGTGTTTGAGGTGCCACTGGGGCTTCATCCCCCCATGGGAACACATTGATTTTCCTCCACTAGTGGCCCCAGTTGGGCTTCTGACATTCATGGGTGCAAAGGGGTGGGATGGGGGCCCAGCGCGCTGACACTGCCCTCTCTCCCCAGGCTCCACACTGCTGGTGATGCTGCTTATTGGTGGCTTTGTGCTACTCTGCTCCTGCCTCCTGCTCCTGGCTTTCCTCTGCCACAGGAAGAGGTTGGTCCTGGCTTGTTCCCTGCTTTGCCCTGGGGGACTCAGCGTCACCTCCCCAAATTCCAGCAGCTTCATCTAGTTGCTCACTGGGGCTCAAGGGGTGCAGCCCCTAAAGCAATGGGTGTGCGGAGATAGGTGGTGGTGGGCACAGGGTAGCTGGGACCTCTTGCCCCATCTTGCGTCTCCCCTTGGCAGGAAGTCAGAAGTGGAGCTGAACTGCAGGATCACAAAAGGTAAAAGGGTCCACAACTCCTCCCCAAAATCAGGGGTCTGTGTGCCGTGGGGTGCAGCTGGTTTAATTGTTGCTGCTACCAAGCCTGGACTTATCCCACGCCCCCGGGGCACCTGCACATCCAGGTGACAGTCCGTGACAACTGAGGGTTTCCTCTCTCTGCCCAGGGTACCCCAAGCTGGAGTCGAGCCAGGTCTGCTCCCTGCAGAGCATGCCAACCCCCAGTCCAGCCTCCTTCCCCACAGCCCCCACACCAGGGGACCTCAGCTGGACCCATTCGCCAGGTAACAGGGACATCAGGGCAGGAACTGGTCCCTCAGCCCAGAGCTGGAGCCGAATCTTCCCAATTGTACCTCCTTCCCCATTCTGGTCTGACCCCTCCTGCATTGTGGACCTGTGCAACAAGGAGGTCCTGAAAAATTAGACATGCCCATTTAATTATTATAATTAATTATTATCATTTATTGTAATAACACATTACAGTTGTTATTACATTACACGTTATTTAGTAGTAGTAGTCCACCTCAGTTACAGCTGTTGGCACTGGAAGGTGGCTGGGGACAGCAGGAGCCCCTCTCTATGGTGTGGCAGAGGAATATGGGGTCTCCATGTGTGGGTGCCCTGCACTGGGTGGGTTTTGGCAGTTTTTCTATCCCTGAAAGTCCAAACATGCTCAGTTTTTCAACCCGCCTCACCCACCTCCGCCGCAGCACCATCACTCTCCTGACATGGCAGCCTCCCTGTTTCAGAGTACACTGAGCCAGACCTGGTGCAGGTGAGCCCCAGCAGCCAGACGGGTCCCTCCACCTTCAAGCTGCTCTTGGAAGAGGGCTACGCTCTACCACTGGTCCTGAACCACTATGACGTCCCAGGGAAGCACCATGAGTACGCGGAGCCGCTGCCGCCAGAGCCTGAGTACGCCATGCCATTCAGTGAGCTGGAGCCCACCGGGATGCGCCACAGCACCTGCATCATCACAGGAGCTGCCGGGTGCCCCCCAGTGCAGTACCAGAGCCCTGCCCCGCGGCCCGGGGAGCTGCCAGCTGCGGCGCAGGGGACCGGCAGCCCCTGTCCTGAGGGGGCCCGTGCGTGGCCTGGGCACTGTCCCCTCACGCACGTGTACCATGAAGCTTTGTAAGGAGGGGAGTACAGCAGCACGATATTGGGCAGGGGGAAGGCACATAAAGGAGGACCTTCCCCGTGCTCACAGTGGGCTTTTTTAAAGTAATCATATGTAAATCTATGTTTTATATATAGAAAGACAGATATGGAGTGGAGTGCCCTGCACTGCCTGCTGGCCGGAGATGCAGTCAATCCACCGGGCTAGAGTGTTAAAGTCCTTGTCTCACCTTTCCCACCGTCTGCGTGTCATAACTTCCCTCCCGCCCCAGCCTGGCAGCCGCTCGTGGAGACGTGAGGCAATACCGCGGGGCACCACGAGCCCGCCGCAGCGCACACGCCGCCCAAAGCCGTTCTCTGCCGTTCTCTGCCGTTCACCGATTGGGGCGCGCCGGAACAGGCGGTTACCGGCAGCCCTCCCTCACAAAAATTGTGCTTCCGAAATCTCTTGATGTCGATTCCGCGCGGGCGGCGCGCGGCCCCCCCCGTGCCACGCACGGCAGAAGCCCTTTTTAAAGCGCCAGGCTGCCCCCGCTCAAAAAGGGAACGCGCCGGTGTACCGGCCAGGACAGGGCGACAGACGCCGCAGATACTAAACATGAAGTTCGGTATTTCTATTCTTTCATCCGTCTTCAACTCGTTTCTTATGTCCATTTTTGTGGTCTTTTCCCTCGAAAAAGCGCCGTTTTCCCCGCTTTTTAGCCGGCCAGGATTATGCAAATCGCGCGGGGCATGCTGGGAACACCTCTTCCCTGAAGCAGCGCGGGGAGGCGGAGCGCTTTTGGCGGGAGCGCTGTGGCGCGCACGCGCGCGCAGGGGACTCGCTCCCCATTGGCGGCGGCGGCGGCCGGAAGCGGAAGCGCTGCCGAGTGGCGGCGGGCGGCGGAGGGAGCGCGGCGGCGGCGGCGGGGCTGCGGTGTGCCCGCGGGCCATGGGGAGGTACGGGGGGCTCGAGGGGGCTGCGGAGTGCCCGCGGGCCATGGGGAGGTACGGGGGGCTCGAGGGGGCTGCGCGGACCGCCTGGGCATTCCACATCGGCTGTCGCGAGTCCGGGAGGGAGCACAAGAGTGAGCGCCGAGTCGGTCCCGGTGGCGGTCGGTTCTGACCTTCGTTCTGCCCCGCGACTCCCGGCGGGGACGTTCTGCACTGGGAGGGGATTCGGTCCCATCCCGGCTGTCTCCGTGCGGTGAGCGCCTTAAGCTCGGGGTGTTCTGCCTGGAGAAGAGAAGGCCCCGGGGAGATTCTTGGAGCGCCTGAAGGGGCTCCCGGGGAGCTGAAGAGGAACTTTGGACAAGGACCTGGAGGGAAAGCACAATGGCTTCCAACTGCCAGAGTGCGGGGATAGATGGGGTGCTAGGAAGGAATTCCTCCCTGTGAGGGTGGTGGGGCCCTGGCACACCGAGACCTGGCCCTGGGCCCAGGGAGGCTGTGGCTGCTTCATCCCTGAAGGGTCCAAGGCCAGGTTTGGCGGGGCTTGTGGCCACCTTGGGCAGTGGAAGGTGTCCCTGCCTGTGTCAGGAGAGGGATTGAGATCGTTAAAGTTTCTTCCCACCCAAACCGTTCTGAGATTCTATGACTGGGTTTAGATATTTGGTAAAAATCACTCTGGTTAATGGAAGTGGGAGCCCCCGAGCTGTTTGTCATTGACATGGATTTTAGTTACGATTCTGATGCTGTGCTGTTGCAGAACTGAACAATTTTGGTGCTGACGCAGCACCCAAACCTCCTCTTGCCCTGGAGGGAGCTGCTGCTGTGGGGATCTGGGTTTACTTGCCCATCAGCAGGTACCAGGGTGCTGTTTCCTGGCAGAAACAGAGTTTGACCATATTTTTCTTCAGAATCCTGTGGGATGCTTGTCCACTGCAGCAGCGACTGTGTGATCATTTCTAACAGTGCAGTCTGTAGCCCTGTAGTGAGGACAGTTTGTGAAACTGTTTCCTTTAACCATCTTATACAGAATTGGTGATACAAAAAATACCTGGCCTTTCTGTAGGAATGAGAGTTACGTGGAAGAGGAGGATGCCAGAGTAGGTAATACTGACTGGTAACATTCTGGGAAGGATGTGGACTGGGGCTTCACTCACTGGGCTCCCAGCAGTTGCTGATGTAATTAAAGATCTAGACACTCAGATAGTTGTAAGTAAATGGGGCTGGGATTTATCCTGTGAATCTGCTCCTGCCATGAATTTGTGTTCAGGGATCTTAGTGGCATGTGAAGGGTGCAGTAAGAACTGGGAATAAACCAACCAAATTACTTTATTCTGCTGAAGTGCTTCTGCCCAAGGATACTGGGGCTTTGTGTCCAAGGATTTCAGTGCATAGTGAGTAGGAGTTGCTGCTTTGTGGGTCTGTGAAGTGAGGCATGGGGTGAACAGGCTGAGATCAACCCCAGCTAAAGCCAAGACTCAAGGTCTCTCTTATCTTGTACTGGACTTTTCAGCCAGAAGTGCCAGCTGAGGGGTTTAGGTTGTGAGTGTAACAATTTTCCATTGTTAATTCAATTGAAATGGAGCTGGAAACTTGCCAAGGGCACTGCAGAAGGGTGTCAGGGACATAAATTCCCCTCAAAGGGCTCCAGGTGTCTGCAGGTGCATGCGTGTGCATTGGAGTGAAGCACTAAAGCTGAATTCTCTCATGTACTTTCTCGTGTGGGTTTTGATATTAATTAATCCAAACTAACCAGGATTTCTTTCATTAAGGGAAATGTCTATTTGTAGATCAGAGAGCAGACACTGTATGTGAATGTCCCTAAAACTGGTTAAACAAATACTTCTTGTGAATTCACCCTTAGCTTCTCAGCCATCTCTGGCCCCACCACGAGAGGCTTTGCCATCAAACCATTCCTTAAACTCTCTTTCCTGTGACAGACCCATCAATGCTTGGGGTACTGGAAGGTGCAGGATTTGGATGAATTTCCTGTCATGAAGCAGTAAAGACAGAGCAAAACTTCATTGAGCCTGAGGCTTAGAGCAGAAACAGAGGAGGTGCCAGTCAATGTTCGCCCCATGACCCACAGCCTGAGTAACTTCAGCTCCTGGAGGATCTGTGTAACTGCACAATGCACTTGTAGCTCACCATTGGGAGCTCCATAAATCCTCCTCTGTTTCCTGGGGCTGCCAATTGCCTGCTATGGGCACACATCTGTTCCTCCCCCTTTGAGCACCAGACTGTGTTCTCAGAACCCAAAATGAACTGGTGTTATCAGTCCCACATGGAGGGCTCACTGCAGCTTGGGCTGTGAGCGTGATGCTGCCAAAAGTGAGACTTCAGGGAGGCTGGGTCCTGCATTCTCTCCGGGGCTCTGGATTGAGGGATTTCATGCTACTGCAGCAGCAAAAAGCCATGTCCTGCAGTTAAAATCTGCTCTGAGTGGTCTGTTCTTTGTGGGAAATGGTCAGCAAGGCTGTGTGAGGGTGGATGTGAAGGGGTTCAGCTCAAAGGATGAATGGGTGGGTGGGTCAGTGCTGTCACCAGCATGCAGCCACTGTGATGCTGGACAACTTAATTTTCTGTACAGTGGGGAAGGTTTTCTCTGCTACTAAGCATCACTTCTCCCTTCATGCTGTGAGCAGAGATTCCTGATCTATAAACTGCAGGCCCTGTCAGAACACTGCAGTTTTCTCTGGACAAAGACCTGTTCACCCTGCTGAGTTCCTTCTGTTTGCTAACCATGGCTTTCCTCTCCCTTTCCAGCTGATTGTTTTGGATCCTCAGAACCCCAAGAAGAACAGACCCAAAATGAACTTTGTGGGAAATGGTCAGGAAGGCTGTGTGAGGGTGGATGTGAAGGGGTTCAGCTCAAAGGATGAATGGGTGGGTGGGTCAGTGCTGTCACCAGCATGCAGCCACTGTGATGCTGGACAACTTAATTTTCTGTACAGTGGGGAAGGTTTTCTCTGCTACTAAGCATCACTTCTCCCTTCATGCTGTGAGCAGAGATTCCTGATCTATAAACTGCAGGCCCTGTCAGAACACTGCAGTTTTCTCTGGACAAAGACCTGTTCACCCTGCTGAGTTCCTTCTGTTTGCTAACCATGGCTTTCCTCTCCCTTTCCAGCTGATTGTTTTGGATCCTCAGAACCCCAAGAAGAAGCAAGACCTAGACAAGCTTTATGATCTAAAAGCTAAAGCCCAACAGATTATGAACCAGTTTGGCGCATCTGCCTTGATCAACCTCTCCAACTTCTCCTCAATCAAGCCAGAACCAGCCAGCACCCCCCCACAGAGCTCCATGGCCAACAGCACCACTGTGGCAAAGATGCCAGGAACGCCCAGTGGAGGAGGGCGGCTCAGTCCTGAAAGCAACCAGGTAATTCCATCCCGAGTTTGGGACAACAGGGATGATACTCGGGCATCACAAGTATGCCTGTGTCTTCATTTGCCTTCTTTAAATCACCAGCAGAAATATAACGTTTATTAAATTACCAGTTACGGAGTGAACAAAACTTCCTCACAGAGTTCCTCTCTCCCAGGTGTTTCCTGTCTGGATGGGGTGTGGATGCTGTAGGTGTAGAGGTTTTTCCAGTCTTAGGAAAGTGTATATGGGGGTGTGACAGGGGAAGTTATTTTTAAGTGGGGTTCAGATGGGAAAAATATGGAGAGAAGTGGGTGGTGAGGTGCAGGTTGCCCAGAGAAGCTGTGGCTGCCCCATTCCTGAGAGTGTCCAAGGCCAGGATGCATGAGCCTTGGAGCAGCCTGTAGTGGAAGGTGTCCCTGCCCATGGCAGGGGGTGGAATTGCTGAACACCCCAACCTGGCATGGAGCCTTTGATTCGCATAAAACAAACTGCTGCCCAGGGAATGTCCTGGCATTGCCCCCGATGGCTTTGATGGCACCTGGACTCTTAGGAAGTTTGCTAAACCCCAGCATGAAACAGCCACAGCAGTGAAGGGATGAGGAAGTGCAGGAATTTCCCATCTGTGTCTGCTTGACCTGACCAGGCTGACAACTTCCATCCATATCTTTTAAGATCAGCATCCTGTTGCTCAACCCAGTGTAGTTTCTGCTCCTGCCAGGTCTGACTGCCCTGGAATAACCCAGCACTCCCACAACTCTGTTTTCCATATGAAGCACTAAAGCTGATAAGTGCTAGAGCCATGGAAATGCTTCTCTCATGCCCTGGGTACAACTTTAGTCACTGATGCACTGATTGCAATTGCTGTCTGCATCTCAGCACTTGTAGTTTTGCCTTTTCATTCCTTGCCAGCAGCATTTTCATGCTGGAAACATTTATTCTGGCTGCTGCACTCCAGTTGCTGTCCTGAGCAACCACTGGTGCTTGAAAATGACTCCTTACACCTGATATTTCTTATCTCTACCATTCCTGAGCTGATAGACTGTGTCAACAGTGTGACTTGGCCCTGGGGGCATGGAGGAAGAGGTGGTTGTGGTTATGGCTGTGCTCCACAGGTAGCGTCTTTGCTGGGGCAGGGGAGTAAATCCTTCCTCTCCTCCCACATGCTCAGGTTTTAACCAAGAAGAAATTGCAGGACCTGGTGCGTGAGGTGGATCCGAACGAGCAGCTGGATGAAGATGTGGAAGAGGTAGGTTCCAACCCATGGAAGGGACTGCAGAAAGAGGTAATTGGTCACGGATCAGTGGGCCTTTGTCCAAGGAGGGAGCATTGGTTCATGTAACACTTGTTTGCCCATGCAGCCTTCAGCCATCCCTGGTTTCCTGCATCCCAGTCCCAAAAAGGCTTTTAAAACAACAATTGCAGCAAACACCTATGAAATCCACTCCTTTGAGTGGAATTTTGGACACCACAATATAAGAAAGATCTAAAGCTATTAGAGGGCTCCCAAAGGAGACTGAAGATGGGGAAGGATCAAGAGGGACCACAAGAGGAGCAGCTTATGGCACTTGGTGTGTTCAGCTGGAGCAGAGATTGAGGGCAGAGCTCAGTCGGGGTTGAAGCTCTTCCCAAGAGGCAGCTCCAACCTCTGCTCCCTATGGCAGGGGCAGGAGCCAGGGAATGGCTGGAGCGGGGTCAGGATCAGGGAAAGATTCTTCCCCCAGAGTGTGCTGGGTACTGCCCAGGCTCCCCAGGCAATGCCAGCTCCTCAGGCAGCCAGAGTCAAGGAGCATTTGGACAATGCTCTCAGGCACAGGATGGGGATTGCTGGGATGTCCTGTGCAGGGCCAGGAGCTGGCCTGGATGATCCTTGCAGGTCCCTCCCAATTGAGGATATTCTGTAATTCTAAATACCAGCTTCTGAGGGCTTGTTTTCATCTTCCCACATAATTTCAACTGTTCAGTGCTGACCAGAGTGATTGTTGCCCTTGTTCCACCACAGATGCTGCTACAGATCGCTGATGACTTCATTGAGAGTGTGGTAACAGCTGCCTGCCAGCTCGCACGGCACCGCAAGTCCAACACTCTGGAAGTCAAAGATGTCCAGTTGCACCTTGGTGAGTGACTCTTATCTGGCTTTTTCCCTTCTCCCCCCAGTTCTCAGCTCCTCCTGGAGTCAGGGCACAGCTGCGGTGCTGTGGTGAAAGCCTGTGAGTAGATAATGCATCCCTGCCCATGGCAGGGGGTTGGAACCGGGTGAGCTTTAATGTCTCTTCCAACCTAAACCATTCTGTGAATTCCAGAGCGCCAGTGGAATATGTGGATCCCGGGCTTTGGTTCTGAAGAAATCAGGCCCTACAAAAAAGCCTGCACTACAGAAGCTCACAAACAGGTAAGGAGCCCTGACAACACCAGGAATTACATGGAAGGCTGATATGAGGGTGGTGGTCATGGCCTCCTGGCATTGTGAATTTGTGGCCTCCTCCAAGTCATTCAGACCAGAAATGACTTCCAGAGCCTCCTGATCTGTTTGTGCAGCGAGCTGAGGTTGCTGTGTCTCCTCAGCTATGTTGGCTTTGCCCAAAGAGAAGCAGCTCTTGGTGCTGAGGAGCTTGGGAGGGTTAAAACCAACTAGGAGCTGCACACAGGCACTTCTCGGCTGCCCCTGGCAACTCCATCTCTGTGCAAAGGGACTGAAAACACCCTAAATTTTGCTTTTAAACTGTATTGGACCATTGGTTTTTAAGCTGTGGTGAGAGCCGAGAAGAAGCTGCCCTGCAGTGGGTTCATGAGTGATGCTGCAGCTCCCACTGGGCAGAGAGAGAGACCTTGAGATGGGCTTTGATTCCACTGCCCCAGGTTGCCAAGTGGAGCAGCACAGATATTTCCTTCTCTTCATCCTGGAACCCCATTAAGATTCAAACAGACGTGAAAGACCTGTGTGGAAGCAAGTCAGACAGCATCCTGGGAGCACCTGGGATGTCTTGTTTCTGCTGTGGGTGGTTGTGCAGTCACCTGCTCTGAGCTGCTCAGCTTCCCATGGTTTTCCCTCTCTTGTTGCAGAGAATGGCACTGATCCGCAAAACGACCAAGAAATAGCCCCTGGACAGAGCCGGAGACACCACCAGTGCAGTTTGGGATTCCTGCCGCTCACTGAAGCCTCCATGATGTCACCTGTGGGATATTTTTTTAATGCTTTACAGAGAAGCATCTATTTTTATTAACGGTGCAGCAATATCTTGACTTGATGAGGAGACCTGCCAAAAACATTCTACGCCCTGTTCTCGTTACTCCTCAGAATGCGACATATCTCAAACAGACTTTTATTTGTGACTTGAAAGTGGTTTATAGTACAAGTGATTATCCAAGGGACAGAGCATTTGATTGTGTGTGGGACAGTATTAGAAGCATCTGTAGAGGTTTTTTGTTTCCTCCTTCCTGCCCCTACCTGCTCCAGTACTTTGTAATGTCAGTGTTTATATAAATACTTGCATTTGTTTTACATGAATAAAGAAATTATTCTAAGCTGCTGTGCTCTTCAAGCAGCATTGCACAGGGAAGGTCCCTGTCACCTCAGCTCTGTGTGTGGTGCTGTTCTGTGGGAGAGCTCCTGAGAGTTTGCAGGGAGCAGAATCATGGAATATCCTGAGCTGGAAAAGATCCCCAAGGATTATTGAGTCCAGCTCCTGGCCTGCCCAGGACACCCCAGCACTCCCACCCTATGCCTGAGAGCACTCTGGAGCTGTGGCAGCCTTGGGACTTTGCCTGTTCCCTGGGGAGCCTGGTCATTGCCCAAGCACCCTCTGAGGGAAGAGCTGTTTCCTAATATGCAATCTATCCCTCCCCTGACACAGCTTCAGCTGTTCCCTCGGGTCCTGTCTCTGGTCACAGGGAGCAGAGACTGGAGGTGTCCCTTGGGAGGAACTGCAGACGCTGGTGAGTCTCCCGTTTCCTCCAGGGTGCACAAACCGAATGCCTTCAGCTGTTCTTCCAGAGGTTTCCTCCCCTCCAGACCCTTCTAGACCGCAAGGATTTGCCCAGTCCCTCACCTGCCAGTCAGGATGGCCACATCACTTTCCCTCCTGACCTCCAAGCCACTGCTGGGATATTTGAACTGTTGGGAGGGGGATGTTGTGACAAAGCAGGATGTCAGGGTCTCCCTGATTCTGTCTGTGCCTGGACATTTGAAAGGCCACATGCCCCTATTCCCTCTGCTCTCCTCAGACCCCAGGGAAGCTGCAGGGGCTGTGTTGTGGGGATGCAGGAGCTGGCAGCACTGCAAACCCCTGCACGACAGGAAGGCCCCTGCAGCCCTAGGCAGAGGTGGGCTCATCCTCCTTGTCCAGCTCTCTGGAGGCTCCAGGTACCTGCAGGGTGGGTGCAGCTCCTTCCATGACTATCCCAGGCTCGCTCCTCATGTCGGTGTGGGATAAGGAGCCTGGGGAGCTCCTTTCTGCACCTCACTCTGCAGCAGAGGTTTTTTTTTTTCAAATTATATTGTATGAAGATTAATCTGAAGGGGAAAGTGGGCATTTCCTCAGAATGGTATGTGGTTATTTTTGTGTTGGACTCAACTAGGCATGTACTCAGCCAGAGGGGCAGATACATCATCTGAGTTCTACAATAAATTTGTAACTTTTAATTCTATTTGGCAAGACTTAAAGATTCAGGGCTTTGTGATAGAGATCTCAGTCAGTACAAGAGAGAATAGGGGAAGGGGTGACATTGACTTCTCAGGTGGGGTTCCACCTGAGGACTTCACCCTTCCAGTGAGCTTCCTTTTTCCCAGGAAAACACAAGCAGGCAGAGGGTGACCAGAGGTATTTAATACAGCCATGCCACCCCTGCCTGTGCCTGGCTGCTCCATATCCACTTCCCCTCCTGAGCCCAGTATGTCCCTGCCTTGCCAGCGTCCCCAGCTCTAGCACGAGCATCTCTTCCGCTTTTCCTCCTCCTCCAGTGCCTGAGCCCTGGGCAGCACCGGCAGTGGGACGCTGCTCTTCACCCCATCCCACGCCTCGGTGGCCACCAACCGCCCCGTCTGCAGCGCTTGGTAAATGGCCGCCGTCAGCATCTGGAAGGCCTGGACCACATTGGAAGCATCTTTGGCTGAGGTCTCCACATACTGGACACCCAGGGAGGCCGCCAACTTCTCCGCCTCCCTCTGGCCCACCCGGCGCTGCCCGGCCAGGTCACTCTTGTGTCCCACCAGCAGGAAGACCATGCGGACGGGCTGGATCGTGTCAGTCACCTCTCGATGCCATTGCCGGATGCTCTCAAAGGACGCGCGGTTGGTGATGTCGAAAAGCAGCATCCCCCCAGCCGAGTTGCGGTAGTAGGAGCGAGTCACGGACCTGGGGTGGGGACACCAAGAGCAGGGGAGTGAGTGGCCCCTGGGGTTTCCTGTGTCACCTCGGGCAGCATGTTCCCTGCCTACAGAGTGGCCCTGGCTAGGACCTGCTCCTGCAAGCAGCACCTTGCATTCAAAGCACCATGAGAGGAGTGAGAATCAGCCTTTTGCTGTGTCAGTAGGAGCTCCAGGGGCAGCTCTGTGCTCAGCCACCTAAGCTCATCTGTCTCCTGCAGCCACAGCCCCCAGGTGCCCCTGTGTCTGCAGCCATGTCCCCAGGGCTCCACCATCCCTGCTGTCATGGTCCTGGAACTCCTCTGTTCCTGCTGCCATGTCCCCAGTACTTTCCCATCTCTGCTGCAACAGTCCTGGAACTTTCCCATTCCTGCAAATCCAGATCTGCCACTCTCCCATCCCCTGCAGCCACATCTCCCAAGCTTCCCTGTCACCAGGAGCTGCCTGGCTGGTGGAGACAGCCCCACAGTGAGATGTGAAGGCTTCTAGCAGCTGAGCTGAGGAAGATGTTTTGCCCGGCACTCGGTGGGCTCCCAGCTGTTCTCCAGCCCCTCTGCAGCTGGTGTGGCAGGGGGGTTGTTGGGGGAGTACTGCACCCCCTTTAGAGTGGGAGCAAGGGCTTACAAGGCAGTCTCAAGGGCTCCTTTCCCTTGGCTCTTGACATGGTGGTTCCTTACCCAAAGGGGCAAGAGGGTACACAGCCACACCAACAGCCTCCTTGGGCTTGGAACCACAACACTCCACCCCAAATATGGAGGGGGACACCTCTCTCCACCACCCCTCCTGACCCCATGGACCCACCTGAACCTCTCCTGCCCGGCTGTGTCCCAGAACTGCAGCTTCACTTGCAGCCCTGGCTCCAGCTCCACGAATTGGACGTAGAAGTCCACCCCGACCGTCTGGTTGACAGCGTCCAGGAAAACACCCTCGGTGTAGCGCCGCAACAGTGAGGATTTCCCCACAGTCGAGTCCCCCAGCATGATTACCCGGAACTGGTACTGCCACCGTGGCTCCATCAGTGCCTCTGGTGCCTGCCAGGACCTGCCACCCCCGCACCAGGAGCGTGTTCAGGCAGGCGGGGAGCTCCTCCACCCAGGAGGCGTTCCCTGTACCATTGGTGCTGTGTGGCCCCTTTGCAGCCCCTTTGTCCCCCTTTTTTTTGGCTCCATCCTGCAGGAAGCACTCAGGGTGCCTGCTCCCATTTTCCCATGGACAGGACACCTTGAAAAGTGTCCTAGACAAGGGGAGCTGTTGCCCCACCAGCAATGCCCCTCAAAGCAGAGGATCCCCCATGCCGTAGATTGGGTGCTGTGCCCCTACCTGGGATGTAGTGCTTGGCACAGCCTTTATTTAGTGTGGAAAAGACTTAGGTTTATTAAAAACACTCCTACAGAAGAGTACTATTTTTTCAGAGCCCCCAAATCAAGGTTTGAAATAAATCCAAACCCAGGTGGGAGACCCAATTCCATAATCACCCAAAGGCTGCAGACTCTGGGTGGAGAGATAAGCATCCCCACAATTTGAGGTCCCACATTCCCCTATCTCCATCAGCACTGGCAGCGCTCCTGTGGCTCCCTCCTTGCCAGGGGCTGGCGGCGACTCTGGTTGGGGATGAGCCTGATGCTGTCATATCCCTGGTGTGGGGCAAGGATCCCCCCGCCCAGCGCCTGCTGGATACCTCCAGCCAGTGGCTGGAAGGCCAACTCCACGTTGAGGTTGCTGAGGGCCGAGGTCTCCACGAAGGCCATGCCCAGAGTGGCGGCGAGGTGTCCAGCTTCCTCTGCTGCCACGGCCTGCTCGGCCACCAGGTCACACTTGTGTCCCACCAGGACAAAGGCAGGCAGCCGGTCCCCCACAGCCTCATGGTACCACTCAGGAACATGCTCAAAAGATGCCCGGTTGGTGAGGTCAAACACCAGCAGCACCCCCGCCGCACTCCGGTAGAAGTTCCTGGTGATGGATCTGGGCGTACCCAGCAGGTTTTCAAAGGATACTGGGAAGCTCTGACCCCAACAGCCCTAGGATGGGGCTTGGGAGATTTTTGCGTGACAGGTTGGACCCCCGGCAGTTGTAAAGGGAGACCTGTCTTGTCTATTTACACCACTGTTTTCTGTTCAGCATCCCTCTCCCCAGTCTGGGGGGCTCCAGAGGAAACCTGTGGGGTTTTCAGGGTCTCTGTGGTAACGTTTATCCCCCACAACAGCCCCAGATGCAGTGAGGATGTGCCAGCACCAGACAGAAATAGGGCACCACCAGAGCCAACCCTGGGGTTCCCAAAAGGTTCTCGGGGTGGGGAGGGCCTGGGAGTCCAGCTCCAGCCACAGCACTTTGATCTGTAGCCCTTTGCGCCCCATTTGAGCCTCTCTCACACTCCCAGGTGCTCCTGACTCCAGCCTGATGCAATCAGGAAAGAAACCACGCAGCCCCAGCCCAGGGCAACAAGCACCTGGTCGTGCTCCTTTGGCTGCTCCCCTGAACAGCTCCAGTGTCACTGCAAGCTCAGCATAAGGTGGCACTGGCCCCTCAAGTATCACCATCCCATTGAGCCATTGCTGTCTGTCCTTGCATGCCCAGCTGGGGATTTACAACCCCCCCAGTGGAAGGATGACTCAGTGGGGTGCTGGGGTCCACATACCCACCTCACCTGAGCCGCTCTTGGCCAGCTGTGTCCCAGATCAGCTCGGCCTTGCCGGTGGATGGCATCAGGATAGTCTGGCTGTAGAACTCAACGCCGATGGTGGGGCCTGGAGTGGCTGCCCCACCACGACTCCCGCCCAGCCCATCAGTGAGGACTTGCCCACGTCTGCATCTCCCAGCACGATGGCACGGAACTGGAAGTATCCCTTGGGGTCAGGATCCTGGGGGGAATCTGTCACTGTCTCCATGGCTGAGCTGACTCGATCCCAACCCACTGCATTCCTGCTGTGCTAGCAGAGAAAGGACAGGTCTCCACCCTTGTCCCCACCCCACCTGGGCACAGGGACAGCTCTGGGCTTGCTGTCACCTGGACAGAGAAACAAACTGTCCCGGGGAGGGAGCAGCTACCAGCTGCATCCTCATCTTTCCCAGTAACACTGAGGAAAGAAGTTTAAGTCTTCTTCCCAGGTATACATACAAAAAAGGGTTCAGAGCTGCTGCATAGTTCTTTTAACCACTTAGGAAACTCACTGAATTAATTTATTTGCCTTTTTAATTACCTTGGTTTTAAAACAATTTTTATCTATTTACCTGTTTCCCAACCACCAAACTCCAAAACACAAACCCTAGCAACAGCCCAGCATTTCAAACTTCAGCAGCAATACAGATTGAGCTAATCACACTGGCATTTAGTCTTGGCTGTCACCAGGATGTCTAGTGTTGCCACATGCCAGCTCCGCCTCCACTGGCAGCCCCTCATGTCTCCATTGCCTGGCTTTGGTGACAACAGGGACAGCCAGGCAGTGAGTGCACAGACTCACTGGCATCCTCAGGAGCCAAGATCCTAGGAAAGCTGCAAGGTTGCAAGGAGATGCTCTAGTACCTCCATGGAGGCCCAGGTGTTTCTGCACTCCAGGGACTCCTGAGCAGGGCTGTGGAGGACACCCCACTGGCAGGTGCTGCAGCGAACAGGAACTTGCCTCTGAGCACTGGGGAACTCGACTGGAAGGGGATTGCTCAGGCTCCATGGCTCAGAGCCAGCCCAGCCTCAACCTATCCCAATGCAACTCAAACACACGAGACACCACAAGGATTTGAAGTAATCATATTTATTCAAAATCCTATCACGCAAACAGAATAGTCCAAGTAGGAAGGGACCACGTGGATCACCAAGTCCAGCTCTTAAGTGAACAGTCCATACAGGGATCAAACCCGCCACCTTGGCATTACTGGATCCCTGCTCTAATCAAGTATTTAATATCCAAACCCCCTCCTGAGAAAAATCCATGGAACCGACTGTTCTTCCACGTGGAGCATCTGAACTGGAGCTTCAGCAACACCTGGAGCCACGCCAGTTCCATCTCCCTCCACTGCAGGTGAATGGAGCCCAGAAGTGGCTGATCCCACTTAGTGGAACTCATAGCTCAGGAAGGAGCCAGGATCTGGCTCTGCAGAGCTCCCACTTCTGAAGAGAGGGCTGGAAAAGAACAGTCAGGCACTGCAGCACCAAGTCCCTCAGGGATGGCTCACCCTCTGCTCAGACCTGAAAAATGGGATAAAAAAGAATCCAGCTGAGTGATGAACAGTCAGGCTCAGTGCTGTGTCAGATTCCATCCACATGCCAGGACTCCTGGATGTCCCCTCCCCGCCCTGAGGTTTTGGGTAGCTTATGCCTGGCCTCAGCCCCATATCCGCAGGACTCATCCAACAGTCTCCAGACTCGGGAATCATCACAGACCAGGCTGCACTGCCACTGATCTCACCCACACCCTGCACCACAGATGACAACTCTGGTCAACTAAAAGCCTCTGAAACAAGTTTCATCATTCCCACCTGCACAGTCCAGGTGAAAAACTGGCCACTTCCAGCACAGTTAGCTTGAACTGCCCCCGGCCCTCCAGACCCCACTCCAGATCATGCAATCCCAGAATGGTTTGGGTTAGAAGGCATCTTAAAAGCTCACCCCATTCCATACCCTGCCATGGGCAAGGATACCAGAGCAGGATGCCTAAGCCCCATCCAACCTGGCCCATGACACTTCGGTTTCTCTGGGCAACCAGGGCCTCCTCACCCTCACAGCCAAGAACTTCCTCTCAGTATCTATTTACCCTTACTGCCCATCCCAACACCAGGAGTTCCCCAGAGGACACTCACATGTTCTGCACTGCAGCTTTCCCACAACTCGGGTCCTATGGGAAGCAAGGTGAAGCCCTTGGGACAGGGCTCACAGGTTCTCATCTTTTTCCACAGTTATTGCTGAAAAAACAGAACCACAGTTTAGTGCCTGAAGCCAATGGGTCACTCCAAATCCATGGCTCAGATATTCCTGACAAATTCCAGCCCCCCAACCCTCATGGCACGTCTGCCCCCTGCGCCCAATGTTCATCCCCTCTCCTGACCAGGAATTTCCTTCCCAACCAGAACTCCCAAAACAGTGAGACCAGCACAGCCTGTCTTCCTAGTGGCCCCTCTCAGCACAGGACACACCCGCAGAGAGCCCAAGACCAGCATGAATGTTACTCTTCCTCCTTTTTCGACCACAAGATCGGTATTCAGATCTGATGGGAAAGGGATTTGGAGGGATGAGCTGTGGAGATCCAACAAAGGTACTACCCTCTCACCTGGGTTTGTCCATCAGATGGATGAGTTCTGGAACACCCAGGACTTCTGGAAGACATCACAACATACCCCCAATTTCAGCAGTGGGCTGCAGACTTTTGTGGACACACCTTTGATTCATTTCACCCTGGAACCCCAAGCAAGAAACAGCCCAATTCCCAAAAATATATTGGAGGGGTGAGTGACAGTCACAGGCAGAAGAGGCCCAGCAGTCAAAGACCTTCCCATTGCTCTGGCATGTTGTTGGAGACCTGCAGCTACTGCATGGAGCCACAGCTCTTGGATTAACATGCAGGTGAACACCGCGTTTATCTGGTAAAGTCTGTGACAGAGTGATTGACTGGCTCTGGGATCAGGGCTGACACCCAGTTCTGCCTCTATCGAGCCCCAGAGAGGAATTACCCTTATCTCACCCACACATGATCTGGATGGCACAAGAACTAAGGGAGTTTGCAGGGCTCATTCCCAAGGACAAGACCTATGGAGGATGCTAGCACTGCCCAACAGCAGAGGGGCAGCAAACGCTGCTGGTTCCTATGCTGGTCCAGGGAGGCCACAAAACCAACCAATTCTCAGCCTCTCAATGGAGAACTCCAGAACCTGCCCATCTCACCTGCTCAAAGCTGAGGCTGTCACCAGCAATCCCATGTCCCAGGATCACCTTCTACACCAGGATGCTGCTGGGGAAGAAGAGTCTTGAGCCTTCAGTAAATTGCAAGAGAAGTAAGTTAAAACAAAACCACAGAAAGACGGGATACATCCCTTCCCCTCCTCCCACGCCGTGCATCAATACGGACCCCAGGGGCAGGGATTTGCGGCAGCCGCCTCCTTCCAGCGCCAGTAACCCCCCTAGCCCATGGTGGGCTATGTACTTTCCCGAAATGTTGCCGGACAGTTACGAAGGTTCCAACTGAGCGGCGACCGTCGAGGAAAATCCCTTTGCTCTCGGCTCCTTTTTGACTGCATCTACCACAGCACCGACAGACGCAGCTTCGATAGGGCCGGGCGGCTCTTCCGCCCGCGGCCGCCTGTCCCGGGACAGGGCATTAGCTCAGCCTCAGGGGTCCCTCACTCACCTGGGGCCGGGCCCGGCCTGAGGAGAAGGGCGGGCGCAAGGCCGCGCTGCCCTTCGCAGCCCTCGAAGCGCACCGAAGCGCCGCCGCCGGACGCGATGCCCACAGGGCGCCGATGCGGCGGAGCCGAGCGGCGGGAGACCCCCAGCGACGAAGGATGGCGGTGGATGGTTCCCGGCGCCCACGCCACAGCCACCCCTACTCGCCGCCATGGCCGAAAGAGGCGGAAACTGGTCCGCGGCCACCTTTTATAGCGCGGCAGTGCGGGCTCCGATTGGCTGCTGGTGCCGGGCTCTCTCGCAGAGGCTCCTGGGAGTTGTAGGCGCGCTGTCTGCAGTCCCAATCGTCGTTCCCGCCTTTCCCCCTTCCAGTCTCCCGCGCCACCCCATCCCAAAGCATAGAAAAGACCCCTGAACAACCTGCTCTAGGTGTTCCTGCCCACGGCAGCGGCTGGAACGAGATGAGCTTTCAGTCCTCTCCCAACCCAAACTATTTCAGATCCCACGATTCACAACAACACCCACCAGCACTGGAAGCAGCTGCACATCCCAGCCCACCTAAACGACTCTCCAGTCCGGGTGGGACAAGTACAATTTCTCTCTCCTTCTCCATGCTAGGTCCACACCAGGGGTGCTCTTTGAAAAGCTGAAAACAGCAGCTGCATTTCCCCTTCTCCTTCCTCCCGTTTGGAACGGGGTTGGGGGGGTGGGGGGAGCACCACCCTCGGGGAATAGAAGGAAAGGTTCTTGGAAACAGAAGTCTGTTTGCCAACACAATACCTCTGTGAAGCTCCTGGTTCATGGTTCATAATTCATGGAAAGGATTTAAAATGGCAGCACCTGTCAACGGGCGGGAAGGGAGTGCTGGAACAGCTGCTGGTGCTGATGCTGAAGGCACAACCATAGTGGGAAATCAGCTGGAAAAGCCTGCAAGTCCTGGAGAAAGGGCAAAAAGGATGGTCATGTTTTAATCTGTTCTGAGCAAACAAACAGTTGAAAAAATTCCCAGTGATCAGCAATGACCTTTTGAGTTAGTAATTCCCTCCAAACATGGCTGGCAGATCAGCAACAAAATAAACACTCACCTGTTTACGGCCAAGTCTGGGAACGAGCCCCAAACCTTGTGTAGCCAAACCTTCCCCAAGACAGTCCTTGCCAAAGCTGTCAGGGACAAGGTACAAGCAGCTGCTCCCATTCTCCTCCTCCATGGATCTCACAGCTGGTCCGCCAAGTCATGAGGCAATTCCTGGAGTCTCCTTGGCACAGCCACTGATACCATGTGAGCCTAAAAATCATGTCAAATCCTAGGGCAGAGTAAATCCTGGGAAATTACTGTAGGAAAAATCATCCAAAAAATCCCAAGAATTCAAACCTTGGCAAACACTGCTTGGGAAGAAACTCTTCCAAATGCTGAACTGGGAGAATCCCCAAAGAGCAGCAATGAAAAGCACTGGATGCCCAGCAGACCTCAGCCTGCCATAACACGATGGACGGAGATCCAAGAGTGGCAGAGAAAAATCCCACTGCATGTCCATGGTCAGCGAAGCCCTGATGAGAAGCCCTCATGAGAATCTCTCACCAGCTTCTTCCACAGCACAGGACAGAGAGCACATGCTGGAAGAGCTGCAGTTCCCAGCACCTGACAGATGGGAGCAGACAATGCACGGAGATGTGAAAACTATCAGTAAGGAAAAGCAGGTGTGCATTAGTGATCCAGGTAGATTGTTGTGCCTACGGCTCCCTGGGACACATCAAGGGGTGGAAGCAAGTCTTGGCCATGGTCAGCTCTCAACTCTACCAACTGTGTTATTCACCATTTCTTTTTCCCTGGAAATTTTACAGCAGAGTCAGCATGATCTTTGAATGATAGAATCATGCAACATCCTGATTTGGAAGAGACCCACATGGATCATCATCTGTGCATCAGAACTGCACAGAACACCCCAAAATTCCCACCATGTGCCTGGGAAAAATGAGTGTGTGCTGAGCAGGACCCCAAACACCCTCTTAAAAAACTGACTGCACTTGGAAAAACCATTTTGACTTGGAATAACTGCTAAGGAAGAAAAAAAAAGGAGGTATTTTTGAAAAACTGCTCTGACCAGGAAAAACAAGAAAGTGAGCTGTCAGTGACATTTCCTGAAGCAGCTCTATCAGTTTCTGCTGCTGCTTTTCAAATTCACACCCCAGCCTGCCACTGAATTAGTTTAATAGTTAAGCAAATCCCAAGTTAAATCCAGAAATGGGTGTATCCAGTAAGCTTTACAAGATCACTGGGAGATAGCAAGGCTGGACAGTAAAAATTTCTGTCAGATCTTCCTCAGCAAAAGCTGAAGGTTAACAAGCTAGTAATGAGATACCCAGTACAGAAAGATTAGAGTCAAATATTTATCTCTGTTGCTCAAAAGGAATTTAGAGAAATTCCTAAGGGTGTTGTATGCATCTCAGTGTGTGGGATATGAACACGTCTCCAGAAACTGATCCAAGTAATAGGAATTTTCTCTAGTCAGACTCACATGGAAAAAAAAAAATCACTAGCAGCTCCTCTTATCATTTGCTAAAGAAATGCTTCCAGACTCCTCATCCCTTTGGAAGCAGGTCAGGATCGTCCCCAGGCCACCCCAATGTGTATTGTCATGCTTTTAATTAAACACAGACTAATAGCAAGAGGGCCCCCCACAGCCTCAGAGCTCAGCCTTTGGAAATCACCACTCTGTGTCTTAAAATACCCACGTCCCTCCAGCTCTGCTGAACATTCCCAGTCTGCGTAACTCAAACGGGAATCAGAGTCCCTACAATTTAATCTAAATTGGAGGATCACATCTTCATCAAAGAACACAGTAAGAATATTTGAGTTGTTTTTGGAATTGCTATAAACCTTGCCTGCTTAAGGGCAGAGTGCTTCTTGATCTCTGCTGCCGATATGGACGCAATTTTCAGGAGCTGTGATATCATCTGCCTTGGACTTCTTGCCCTTAGCACTTAGAGATAAAAGCAGAATTTACCTTACTACATGGAGGCCTTGTCTTTCATCCTGTGTGACACTAAATGGTAATTAATCTAGGCTTTTCCTGCAGCCATCCAGGAGAAACAAAATCCCACACTCTGACTGGGATTCCAAAAGGCAAACCTTACAAATCCCAGGATGTGGCTGTTTTGTAGCTCCATTTAAAAGCCTCTCCTGTGCTTCAGACACAGCAATAATGGCCAGGAGCTGAAAATGAACATTAAGATAAGTAAGTGATATGAAAAAAAAAAATCAAACCCAAACAATGCAGAGATTTAACAGCTGCAAACAACCTTGGCTGAGATTCTTCCAACCAACCCAAAAAGCCTGGCTCCTATTTCCAGGGAATGAGGCCCAGAGCCTCGCATCAACCTCTCCCCTGAAACAAAAGCTGGAGCTATTTTAAGCTCTGCAGCACCAGTAAACAGGAGTCAGCAGGTCATTTCTGCTGGCTTCTGCACTCCCAAATTATTCCTCACAAGGCTCTGTACATGCCCAGCTCTCCCAGGAATTAGAGGTTGGGATGGGTTGGATTAATATTTACCATTTTTCTTTCCACCACAAAATAAAAGCAGAGAGCAAAAGGATTTTCCCAAAGGTTGCTGTCTGATTCCTGATAACCTGCTCTTCTCTCCTCTAGAGACAGACTTTCATAGACGTAGTTTATCCAGGCATTAGGGAATACTCCACAGACAGCAATGCTGGGCAGATGAGAACAGCAGAATAAATTTATATTGATAAATAAATGTGGCTTCACCCCTGCCCCCCGGAGCAAACTGGGATGGCTACACTGTAAAAGCCAAAATTCGTGGGGATAGGAAAAGACAACTGCAAAACAGGAGAAGGGCAGGCACACAGGGCAGCACAGTAACAGAATGATCCAGAAAGTGTTTTAAATGCCATTCTTTACATAATTTCTGCAATGCCACTCTGCTGAACTTCCCGAGAAGAGGGGGTGTCTTGAGCTGAGCAGCCACATTAGAGGATATACAGCTCTGCTCTCTTCCACTTCTGCTGCTTCCGAAACTCCTGGCATACACAGGGAACATTCCTTTCCTTACATTCAGAGCAGCTGAAGGTGAGACAGCAGCACAGCCAGGGGCACAGCATGAGAAAAATTCAAAGCAGATGAGAATGCAGGAGTCCAGTAGTCCTCTAGCTCACTCGAACTCCAGTCACATCACCATTCCCTTCACATCCAACTTCCAGTTGATAAAAAAGACCATAGACTGACAAATAGGTCATAATTATAGACACAAAGAAAGGTGTAGTAGAAGTAGCTTTATCAAAGTATTTAAATTTGGTGGCAAATCTCTGCATCAACATGGGCAGAGAGGCAACGAAATGCTCTGCAGTAGCAATTTCAGTTACCAAACTATTCCTTGGACAGACATTTATTACAGGTAGTTTCTCTGATCCTATTTCTCCAAGAGTTTAAGGCACAAAAAGCCTGAAAAAGGGCTTATAACATGTATATAAGTGCTATTATTTTCACTTTCACCTCTAATGCAACATATCAGCTTAAATATATTGCTTGTCCAATCAGCTTATACAACATCCGGTAGAAAACTGCTTTTCAAGTTAACAACCATTTGCTGCACAGTATATCAATGCAATTGCTCTGACCCCTTTTTGCTGCAAGATCTTTAGTTTTGCTCTGACTGGACAGTGGAAGACACTACAAAATCTCAACATCTCAATGAGACCATCAAGGTGTGTCCACAATAAAAAAAATAAAGGCATGATACACAAAATAACATTTAAATATGGTTGCTGGGAAAAGTGTTTTAAACTGCTGGTTCACGGGGAATTATTTCCTCATACACAGGTGGAGAAGCAGGCCAGGTGTGCAAGGTATCACCAGGTAAAAGCTTTATAACACTCCTTTCTGTCTTTTTTCTCCAAAGTGCTCTTTGGGTTGATTGCTTGAGAATATCAAACTTGCAAGCTCAAGATCACAGCTTAAGTTAACCACAATGCAAACTTTCATCACACGCTCAAGTTATAGCAACCTCACCCAGTCACTGGAAAGATTTTGAGACATTTTAGTGGTGTCCAACAATGATCTTTTTTGAAATAACTCATTCATGAGCGTTGGGTCAAATGACTTAAGACAGTTGAATGGGCAGCAAAGCAGAAAGATGGGCAGGAACCAAAATGCAAAGTGTAATTTTACTTAAAAGACCAACTTTTTTATTGTACGATGGAGTAGAGTCTCTCTCCTGTGCCATCTTGTTGAGTTTATAAATTACAATTCCCAGTAAGTATTAAGAGTTCATTTCAAGACAAAAGGAATAAAACTGTCGCAGTTCTATTTTTCGCCATGAATAAAGGTTACTGTGATGCTCCTACAATACTTGTTCTCTACAGGAAAGGCCACAGTCCTCCTGTACTCCGAGTACCTGACCTGGGTGGGGAAAGGGCCACCCCTCACAGCTGCAGGATCCGGGGGCAGTGTAACAGTCTGGAGCACAATGGGAGGATGTCTCACAGCCACAATGCCTCAGCAATGAGGCTATAACATGGCTGGGATCTCTGATGAGACAGTGTCCAAAGGCTGCCAATGACAGTCCATCAAGGCATCATAGAGCTCTTCACTCTGTTCCATAAACTGCTTGTTTGCTTCGTGGACATCTAACTGAGGTGTGGGATCTATGGGAGAAAAGACAGACAAATAGGTCACACATCAAAGGTGTTCAGAAAAAACCCACCTTGTAAACAAGTTGGTATATTAAAACAAACATGGGGGGAGTCTTAGTATCTCCAGGGCAGATGTCAGAGGATAATGCCAGACTCTGTTCAGTGGTGCCCACTGACAGGACAAGGAGCAACCACCTCAACATGAACAAGAAGTTATTTTCATGGAGGGTGGCACAGTACTGGAACAGCTTCCCAGGGAGGGTGTGGAGTCTCCCTCTCTGGAGACATTCCAAACCCATCTGGATGTGTTCCTGTGAGCCATACTCTAGGTAAGCCTGCATAAGCAGGGAATTGGTCTGGATGATCTCCAGAGGTCCTCGCAAGCCCAAGTATTCTGTGATTCTGTGAGTCACCAAACATTCCCAGCACTTGCCAAGTGACAAACCTAACCAGATCAGTCCTACCCAATCTCTCTGCAATGAGATAAGGAATAACTACATCCAATAACCACATCCCTTTTTACAACAGTGATTGCCCCACAGAACAGCCAGTGGAGGAAACACCTGCACCTCACAGCCCAGTGCAGTCAGCTGCACTGCCAGAAGGGGCTTGCCCTGATGGGCAGAAGCAGAGGTAGAGGTACCCATTCTCTTCTGCTCCTTCCACTGTGAGGTCACAAATGATGGATGGACAAATGGATGCGAGCATCCTGTGCTGCTGCAGTCACCAGAGCTCATCTGCCAAAGCCTCCAGCAGTTCAAGGCTGGAGTCACAGTTAGGAAAGAAGGGAGTGTCAGTGGCACCACAGCATCATGGTGAGCATAGCCCTATTTTACATGTGGAAGAAATGTTTGGAAAGCATTTTGGAGCTGGACAAAAAGCGTGCAGGTCCAATCCTGCTGCTCCAAATGCACAGTGATGGACTCCCCAAACCCCTGTAGGGTGTAAAGCTCACCTGACAACACTGGCAACCCAAAGCTCAGGTTATCAGAGTAGCACAATCACAAAGATCGTGAATGACTCTCAGTACAAAGCTGAATGAATGGAAAGACTCTAAAACACGTGAGGAACAAAATGTTTGTAAACGTGTAACTTCCCTGTGAGGGAGGTGAGGCCCTGGCACAGGTTGCCCAGGGAAGCTGTGGTTGCCCCATTTCTTAAAGTGTCCAAGGCCAGGTTGGACAGGGCTCGGAGTGACCTGGTCAAGTAGAAGGTGTCCCTGCCCATGGCAGTGGGTGGATAAAGGTGTCTTTGGAAGCTCCTTCCCACCCAAACCATTCCATGTTTGGTTTTAGCTACACCATGTAACACATTACAGGAGAAGAGATTTAAGGAAAAGGAATTATACAATGACAATACATTAATTCAGTTTCCTACAAAGGTAGGAATCTTTCATTTAATCAACCAGAAAAAGAAATATCCCGAGATATCCCATTCTAGTCCTAGTATGTTTGCTTCAGCAAAAGGAAAGCTCTCCTAGAATGCTTTCAAGAGCCAATAACAGCTTCCATACCTGTGGATCCTGTAGATCCGTTACTATGTAATTTTAATTTTTTTTTAAAGAATAGAGTAAAATACACTGCATAGTGTGTATTGCACTCAAGACAGAAATCTGGAATGGCTGGCATGAAACGATAGTTTCTTGCATCAATAAATTAAAGCTACTTGTACAGGTATCTAAAATCCCCGATCTGGTTTAGTGACCCATTTCAAGCAACAACTGCTTGAAATGTTTTATCAGTGTAGTGACTAATATTATTCCCTTTTTCTTGTAAACTTAAAGCACAATGAAGTATTCTGGGCTCTAAATGTCAATATTTTATAGAAAAACAGAATATCTACTTTTTTCTTGGTAGCATATCAGAAAAAGAAACCCTAGTAAAAAAAAAAGATTAAAGTTTCAGTACTTCAGAAGATTAAAATCTCAGTGCTGGGAAAGTCAAACAGTTTCAGTCCTCACCAGGTTCAGACTAAGAGTAGCAACAGTAAAACCAGGATGCAACTGTTGTAGGCAATAGTAACTCACAGATTTTCTCAGATTTACTCGAAGATAAAGGTATATTATAAATTGAAATTAGGGCCAATTTGAGAAAGTCTATCTCCAAGCAGTGCAGGACATACAGACAACTTCAATACAGAATTTGAGAAACGTACCTTCCAATGCATCCTCACCAACTTCTTCATATGTCTGCAAGGAAAAACAACCCCCTTAGGACAGTGGATAATTATCTTTTCTTTTGCAAGCATCGCTTGTTGATTAGTATTGTCAGAGACTGACTTTTATACTGGAGTTATTACAATGGAATTCTTCACACATAAGCCTGTGTTCCATTCCTAACACTCCTTGGGCGAGATCTTACACTAAACATCTATCAGAGGCAGCTCTTGAAATTCCAGGGTTGAAGTGGGGTGACTGTTCTGATGTGTTCTATCCTTTATAACAAAGTTTATGAAGGATCCCAAAGGCACTCTGAGCACTGCCTGTACCAAGAGAACTCTTCTGCCATCTCAACTGTACTAAGAGACCTTTTGTGTCCTCCAGACTTGTTTTAACCTCAGCAATATACTCTCCATAAGGCAAGAAGACACACCAGGGGCTAAACACTGAATAGTAGCTATATTAAAACTTCATCATTAAGAGGTATATACTAAGATGTCTTGCTGTGTTCAGTTTGGAGCAGAACAGACTGAGGGCAGAGATCATTAGGGTCTGCAGCTCCTCCCAAGGGACAGCTCCGATTTCTGCTCTCCATGACCAGGGACAGGACCTGAGGGAATGGCTGGAGCTGTGTCAGGAGAGGGTCAGGCTGGATATCTGGAAAAGATTCTTCCCCCAGAGGCAGCCTGGGCACTGAACAGACTCCCCAGGGAATGGTCACGGTCCCAAGGCTGCCTCAGCTCCAGGAGCCTTTGAACAATGCTCTCAAGCACAGGGGTGATTGTTGGGGTGTCCTGAGCAGGGCCAGGAGTGGGACTCAATGATTCCTGCGCGTCCTCTCCAGCTCAGGACATTCTGTGATTCTCAGAGCTGAAGATGAGATGTTCCCATGCCACCTTTGGAGTCTGTGGTGTTTTTGTGCTGCCCTACCTGCATGGTGCTCTGCGTGTAGCCATACTGGGGGTAGCTGTAGCTGTAACTGCCCGTGTTCTGGTCGTACCCCCACTGAGCGTAGTAGTTGTGGTACTGTTGGTAATACTGGTTGTAATTATAGCCGTACATCTGATTGTACTCCACTGGTTTCACACGATTACTTCAAAAAATAAAGCAGGATAAAAATAGCAATAAAATAGCAATAAACCATTTTTTAAAAATTGCAACAAAATAGTGCAGAACAAGTATGAAAAAAGCAGTGAAATAGCTTAAGATACAACGTGGTAAAGAGACAAGGCTTAGTCTAACAAGCAAATTTCAATCTTTAAAATATATTCACTATTCACTGCAACAATATTTATTATTTGCATATATTTGCATAAAGAAGCGGTTTAAATTTAATACCTTTTCCTGTATTCATATTCCTCTTCACTAATAAACATTACTTTCATTCATTATGAGCTAATTGGGTATCACTTCCTGGCTTTGGGAAGGGAAGAGTTCAGGACTATGAGCTTCAGTTTAGAAAAATCCTGAACCACAATCCAGATAATGGAGTCCCTTCTTCCGTCTGGTAAAGAGGATGAAGTTAAGTGATCTGCAGTTTTCCGAGAGAAAGTACTGAGTCTTGCTTTACATGAAGAGTTAAAGACTTAAAGGCTGGCTAAAACCCTCAAGTTTTCTTTTGTAAGAATGGAAAAAACTCTCCCTTCTGCCACTGTCATACAGAAACCTAAGCAAGGACTCGTCCCCTTTCTCTCTGAACTGGATGATCTTCAATGCACAAACTTGAAAACATTCATGAAATAAGAACTACTAGAAATCAAAAAATAAACTTAAATACCCTGAGAACTTACTAAAATTCCTATTCCTTGCCACTTTATGAACTGGCAACATTCCCAAGGAACACCATTCCACCTAACTATCAAGACTTGAAATAATGAGATGACAAATATTGTTTGGAAATGAAAATATGTCACACATACAGCTATTTCTACTAATGATGAAATTAGTGAGAAGCAGGAAGAAGGAAACATCAATCTTCTCACCACAATGCACCCATTTTTTCTGCTTTTCTCTTCCTTTTCCCCCCCAGCCTTATGAGTTCACTGAAAATCTAAATATTATTCAAATAGGGAGCAATTACTATGATTCGTATTACCCTAGTGCTACGAGCCCCAAGTCAGACCAGGATCTCATTGTATCAGGTTCTGAACAAACACAGAAAAAAAAGTTAATACCTGCCCCAAAAGTCTTATATGTAGTAGACATCATAAAAGAATTAGCAAGGTAGTTGAGCTTTGCTATCCAGACATCATCAAGATTTAAACTATTTCAATTTAAAGCAAAGGAACATACATTTTAAAAACAATCACATTTAACTACAGCGTGTGTACATGTATACAGATTTACTAATATAAACAATTCAAAACAGTATAAAATGCTTAGCCTTGAGCTAATGTTAGAATTTCTTTGAACTCCTGGGCATTCTGATACTCCCCATATTCATAGTTATTATTTCATTTTGTGATGGAGACATCCAGGACATGTATTCAAAGCACTAAAAGGCATTTAAAACCAGACGTGAATTTTCATATAAACGTCCAGCTGTTCTTCTACTCACGCTTTTGGTATAGCCACACTCAAGCGTACAGGTTTAGAGCCCAACCCCACAGCTCCCTGACACTCTGTCAGTGCTCTCTTCTGTTCCAGTTCATCTGTGAATTTCACGAACCCATAACCTCTGCAGAGACACAGAAAAACTCACATAAAACCAACCCCAAAGAGCGATGCCACATTACAAAAATTAGTTACAGTGAAGTTTGGTTTGGTTTGGGAAACACAGTGAATAAAAATGTTCACTAGGGTTGTCGTCCCTGCTCTTGGGAGAGATGAAATTATTCTGCCTTCCAGTTGCTTTTCCAGAATCCCTGAAGCCACACGTCCAAGCTCTGGCAGTACTTTCAAGGGCTTGTCAATGTAAAGTAGTTCTTGTGCCAGTGGATTCTGGGGAACTGGAAGTGAGCTGACACAAGCCATGTTGAAATGCGTGAACTGACACATGGTAAAACCCCAAATCTCTGCTGGGAGGATACTGATAAGTCAAGAGCACAGCTGGAACAGGGACAGCACATCCAGAACCCCTGGACTCTGCAACAAGCCTTCACTGTGATGTGGCAGCACTGCACGTCAGCCAGCCAGAAAACTCCAACTCCCTCCAACCCCAACAGTCCTTTGCGTGGGATTTTGATGCTGTAGTGAGTCAGAAGCAATGCAACAGCATCCAAGAGGGCAGTGCCAGGATCCCATCATGGGATGGGCTGCCTAACGCAGCAGAAAGATCAAAGACTTAGGTGTGGGACGGTAAGAGGAATCCATCTAAGCAAAGGAAGAAGTTTGGGAGGGAAGGGCTTGTCTACCTGGGGAAAAGAACGAGCCGTAAGCAAGGGTGTAAATTTTCAGTGCATTATCTATTCTGTGGGAACTGCTAAACACCAAGTAATGTGCTATTTTGAAAGCAGCATCAACTACTACTCATGGGAAGTCCCCACTGACAGCTATTTCAGAGCAGTTCATGCCCCAGAAAATGCAGTACCTTGCACAGCAAGACTCATATGCAAGATATATAAATATCTTTTATATATATATATACACACACACACATATACATACAGGTATGGATGTATCCTCCTCACAAAACGACCAGATCAAAGCTTAGACTTATCTACATACAAACTAGATTACTAAACAGAAGCAAAACTCTATACAGACCCACGTTCATTTAACTTGCCTTCTGCCAAAGGACTATGGCAAATTAATCCAGTGCAAGTAAACTTCTAAGTCAGTTTAAGGTGTTCACACACAAACCCAACTAAGCTTCTAAGCTACCGAAAGGCTCCTCCAGATTTTCAGATGGCACCAGGAGTGTGTAAGAGAAACTGAGAAGACTGGCAATTCCAAAATAGAGACAGACAGAGATGGATGCGGTGTACAGCAATAGATGCTGCGTGCTGCAAAGGACACAGTGATTCTTCCAAGTCTTCCAGACATTCAGCTTTTCCACACCAATGGTTAAACCACTGGTGAGGAAAGAAATAATTTCTTCCTGCAGACCTACTGTCCTGCCCCTGAAGTTTGGAAAAGCACCAGCACCTGTACCCTCAGCAGAAAGCAGAGAAGGAGGCACAGCACCACAGCACCACACTCCAAGCTCCTCTCCTGTCTGAACAAGAGGTGCTGGGAGGAGGCCTCCCTGATCCACCAGCCCTGGCTGGAAGGGCCAGGGCTTCACTGGGCATGTCCACAAGCCCTAAGCTCCTCTCTCACATAACACTGACACCTGCAGATGCCTCAGCTTTGAGCAATTGCACAAGTCCCAACAAAGCCCCTGGCACCAACACTCTGGCACTGCCAGGGGAGACAGCTTTGCTCTTCCCAGAAACAGGACTTTAAGTGCCTGCTCCTCCCCCACTTCCCAAGCTACCACAGATTCCTCTTCCTCGAGGTCTGCACCTATGCACAGTTCCCAAAACCCAACTAACAGTCCAACCTGCAGCACCAACACCTGTTCTACAGAGAGAGACTGAAGCAGGTGCAGCACAACAGGAACTGTGGGGTTTACATTGAGGAGGAGCAGAAGTCACACAGAGCCCAACCCAGCAGTGTCAGTCCCAGGGGAAGTGGAAATGACAGCATGAGGACCCAACAGCCAGAGAGACTGAGTAGCTCTGCAAGAGGTTCAAGATGCACATGAAGAGGAACTTCATGAGTGGGGAGGAGAGCAGCTCTGGAACAGGCTGCCCAGACAGATTGAATTAACTCCATTCTGGGAGGTTTTCCAGGCTACACAATCCATGGATGATATGATCTAGCGCTGGTTGCAGTCCTGTTAGGAGCTGGACCAGAGACCTCCAGAGATTCCTTCAAACCAACCTGTCTAAGAGTAAGAAACCCCATATGAGAAGGTGAAGGGACCTACAGCCACAGCCTATATCTTATCCCAACTTTCTCACAGATGTTATATCACAAAATTGTGCTTCACTGAACCCACGCTCTGCTTTGAAAACAAGGATGCTCACCAACTGCTCCTTCCTCTGGAAAATACAACTTAATTTCGTGCTATTTAGAAAATATTTTAATTACATTAAGAAATCCAACTTTTTGATTCCTGTTTTTAGCAAGACATTTTCAGGAAAGACAAACAAGGCAGCTACTGAGAACCTGACAGTAAATCATAGCTTTGTGTGCCCTACCCTCTTTGACAGAAAACTCGTACAGCTCTCACAGGAATATACACTCAATAGCCTAAAGTCTGTAAAGCACAATTCCACCCAAGAGTCCAGGAAGAGAGTGTTTCAAGATTACTTAAGAAATTTTTCAGCATTTTACAAAGTGCAATAACACACAAAGGGCCTCACACTGACAGAGGAGTGACAATACCCATGGTGACTACCAAAACTCAAGCGAACTGCAGACTGAATGGCTAAAACCACAATATTTTAAGGTTACTAAACTCTAAGCCAAAAGAAATTTTTCCCCTTGCTGCATTCTGTCTTTCCTGTTGCCACATGTGAAGTAAAAAAAAAAAAAAAAAAGAATAAAAGACAACTTACTTGGATACTCCTGCCTGGTCCAAAACAACTTTTCCACCTCTACACGATGGATAAACTTTAACAAAAAATTCATATAACATCCCATCATCCACGTCAGGAGTCAGGTCTCCCACAAAAAGGGAATATTCTGGACTAAAGACATCAAAAGAAAATCTCTTAAATACAATCATACAAAAAAAAAAAAAAAAAAAAAAAGGGACATGCTGACTGACAGTAGTGACAGTTACCATTTAGCCTAAATATTTGAACTTAAAGAAAAGCAATACTGAAAGACCATTTAACGGAGACTTTAAAGTGCCACCAAAGTTAAGTTGCTTAACTAAAATTTTGATTGACACTGCTTTTTCAAGTTAATTGAAGCAGCACAACCAAGCAACTTAATACTGCTTTTTATTTAAAGATTATTTCAATTCTTATTACTCACAGAATATCTCTGATTTCTAAAATGGCAAGAAAAAATATCTCATTTATAGATATGTTATTTCCAATACATAGATCTTAAATCATAACACATAGATCTTAAATTATAATATATGAATTAGATACTTTGATGCTACAAAGTTGAAATACCTTAAAGGACACTGGATAAATCTGCTGTGCCACGCACAGGGCAAAGCACAAAACTGGCAGTCTAAGCTCTCTTCCCTCTACTAAAGTCTGGTAGTGATGAACTTTGGGTTTACATATTTTGAATACTTTTTGCAAGGCAATTAATAGAGAGATTAAGCAGGCAAAATTAAGATTTCAATATTGAGCACTTACCTGTTATCAGGCTGTTTTCCATATGTTGCATAATTCAATTTAAATCGTTTTGCCTGAAACAAGGCAAAAATGAATCCATACATTCAAATGTTGTCATGTGAATTCAAGCAATTAGGGAAAAATACAATAAGCTGATTTAATACAACTTAATGCTGACACATGTTCAATGCCTTCAGGCCAGCCAGTTAAGGTAACAAGCACATTTTTATTTAGCATCAGTACAGATATAATAATGAAAATCAAAATGTGAACAGAGGTAGTAATAACAAATGTTATATTTCTTCAAATTTTAAGGTCTTAAAATGAAATAACAGTACCACTCCTGGACTTTTGTGATTTAACACAAGAACTCACAGACCAAAATCCAACACACTGGAAAATGGAATCAACCTGAGTCTGGAAGTGTGGCTAAATACTTGACTCTGGACATTTAGTAAGATTCAAAATTAAAGGGTTCTGAAAGAACTACATTGGACACTGCAGCCTTCTTTAAATTTTGCATCTGAATTTATTTTTGAAACAAGTTTCCCAGCAGCCTACATTTGCGCCCTCTGTCACATCTGGAACTCTCTGTTCCCAACCTACCAGACTTTTAGCAACTTTCACCCAACTTACATCTAAGTTTAGACCAAGATCTAAGGAGACCAAGATCTTTGAATCAGCTCTTAGAGATCAGGGGCTAATCTCAGGATCAGGATTTCGGATCCTAAAATCAGGATTTCAGATCACAATCAGAAATGCCCTAGAGATCAGGGAACTTGTTCAGTACAGTGAAGAGCCCTTGTATGATGGATTTCATTCCCTCAAAAAGAGGTAAATAATTCTTGGGAAATAGCGCACAGATTTAAGTCTAGGCTATAATCCTGTTAGTTGCACACTTGCATTCTCCGGAGCACAGTACTACACAACTTTCTGTGGATCATTTACAAGCTAACACAAAATTTAGATTCCACTGAAGCACTTAGGGTTTTTTAGATTTTTTTATTTTACTCTTCACTGCAATATTCTGTGTTTAAAATCATTAAGACACCTGAGAGTATTGCCACTTAGACGGGAACTGGGAACACCAAAGCTTGGAAAAGAGAGACAGCACCAGCACCATGGCTCTCTGTTATTCCTTTAACTGATTCAGTATTTAAAAATAAATAAAAGCATGAGCCACACTCAAGCTTTCTGTAAACAAAATTCTCCAAATGCAAAGGATGAGCTGGGCAGTTGCGTTCTGAGTGCACTGATTTGGGCTGCTTTGGATCTCTGCCTGACATCTGTAACTTTCTCTGCGCGTTATGCAAATCATCCCTCCACACAGCACTGTGTTTTGGACAAAACTGTGAAGAAAGATGGGTATTCCCAAAACCAAACTTCCATTATTATCTTATTCCTTGCTCTCTTTGTCTTTCCAGTGACTACAGAAGGCATCCAGTATGATCAGCTTGCCTTAATCATGAGCAAACACGTGAAACAGATATCTCCAAGCCTCTCATCAACTCCTTTTAACAGGGCACGTCACCCTCTGAGGAACGTTGACTAAATAGCTCAATCTGAACTTCCCAGTCTCCTACTCTGGGTATTAACTACTCTGAAATAGGAATCCATTTACCTTGTATATCACACCATAACTGACGTGATTCTAGAGTTGCTTTATGAATCAGTCACCCCAGCTACTGCAGCCAACTCCTGTGGGTACAACAGACAGCTGTGTCAGCCGTCCCATTTAATCTACCACATATTCGAGCCAACATCCTAAAATTAGCCTCTCTGCCTATTCCTCCTCTTCTCCCTAACTACCCAGCTTTTATGTAGAAGAGATGTCAGTTATGCACTGCAATTATTCAATACTCTGTCTCATTCTCCACCGTAAAGAGGTTTGAGTAGCTTCTGTTTGCTAAGGGCCAAGAACAATGCAAGATTAAAAGTCATGTTTCTCTTGCCAATCAGGGTTACTCAAAAGACAGTGTGAATTTGCAAGCTCATCCTGTACACATGTAACAACACACAGAGTTAAATTCTCAGGTTGCCTCATCCCTGAAAGTGTTCAAAGCCTGGTTAGATGGGGCTTAGAGTAACTTGGTCTACTGGAAGGTGTCCCTACCCATGGTAGGGGATGAAATATGATAATCTTTAAGGTCCCTTCCAACCCAAACCACTCAGTGACTCCATGATAATACAAAAGGAGAGAGATGGAAGAATTGTGGCAGACATACACTATACTCAGCCTAATTTCTTCCTTGCTCTTCTCAGGTTTCTGATTAGTCCATCTTTGGTAACAGCAGCAATGGTTAGCTATAAAAACCATCACACCCCACAACACTTCTACACCTGAATTTTGTCTAGACAGTCACAAAGAAATCAGTGGTTTTTCTCAACAATTTTCTAAGCAAGAACATTAACAGTTTTATAGTCATAACTTCTATTCTAAAGCAAAGAAGAATTCCAGTTTTCTAATTATTGAATTTATCTGTAATCATTAAAAATACACATTTTACACTATCTGCCCCTTCCAAATTTTGGTTCTCAACTGGCTGATCCCATTTACTTACCGGTGTAGCACCAGGAAGTGGTTTTCCATTAATTTTGTGTAAACATTTCTCTGCAGTAGCTAGATCTGCAAATTCTACAAAGCAATAGCCTGCTGGAATTCTGAACATACAACACAGAAGAGAAGAGACCAAAGTTATAAATTTAAAACACATTTGATGAGGAAAGCTGTATTTTAGATAACTGGTAAGAAATTTTCTATAGTTGCAGTACATAAAAGAGCTTCTTTTTAAAGTATAAATATTAGTTACCAAAGAGAAGCTTGATCTCAAGGGATAGCCCCTACTTACCATGTCAGGTCAACAAAAGCACCTAGAAAATGGTTAACTTACAGTTTACTTCCTACTTTCATTGACTATCAATTTGCCCACCCAAGTTTAAACTACTGAAAACTGAAATTACAACACTTAAAAGAACAATCAATAAGAACAAAACTACTTTATTCTGCATAAATCACTCATTTTATTTCAAATGAACTCTAAAAGTTCTCTTATTGCTCCGAGTGAGACTTCCCACCTCTGTCAGCACCACATAGCTGCACTACAGACTAGTGACCAAAGCATGGGGAGGTGTAATTCTCAGAGGGATGGAATGAGATACATACACTGCTCTGACTGAGTGCTGGAGCACTGCACGATGTGGGCCAAACCTTGTCTGTTGAGGGAAGGCTGAAGAGCCAGCAGTGCCCTCTCCATTGCTCTCATCAATATTCACATATTGGTAGCAGCAATGGTGAGAAACTCAAAGGGAAAATTCACTCTGATATGGAAGGACCACAGCGAGGCTTCAGTCCAAAAGCACTTGGAGAACAAACAGAAACAGTTACCCAGTCAACCTGTTTCGAATGATTTTTACACTCAGTACAAGCTCTCCCATGGTGGCAAAGGCTCTTGAAACAAAGTTTTCATCCATATAGGGCTCCAGCTATAAAAGCAAAAAAATGAAGAAAGTTAGATCAGGGCATCTACAAAAAAGAGAATATATGTGTCAATGTCCCTCTAAGCAGTTAAAACATTATTGAGAAGGATTTTACCCTTACACTTCAAAAAGAAGACTCATTTAAGAGGGTCGATGCCACTCAAAACCAGCAGGCATGCATGAACCAGGCTCAACAGTCTGCAAAGTGGAACCCAAGAGACAGCATGAATTTCAGAGAACAGGGAGCTTCACAGAAGGACAAAAGCCACTCAGAAACATACAGCATCAAACTAAGCATTCGCTATAGGGAGCAGGGGACAGGGTGGCAGGCTCCTTCTCCAGGTACAAGTGAAGGCTGGGCCAGCACTGTGGATACACAAGTGTGGCACAACTCTGGGTGGCATGTGGCAGATGACACTGCCCCGTGGAGCTGTGTTAGGGGTCTGCAGAGCTGTGCCTGCCTCGCACAACCCCGGAGATACCAGGGCAGCACTTGGGGGAAGCCCTGGAATCGTGTCCCACAGCAGCTCTACACTTCATCCTGCCCATGGGAGCACTGACCATGTTCATGTCACAGGGAAGGACTGCACTGTGCAGGTAAGAGTGTATGTGAACATGCTGGAGAGCAGGTGTCTGTGTGGCGTAACGGACTGACAAGTAGGAAAGGGTGCTGGAATTTGGATCAAATATACTGTGAGTGAGTGAACAGGGCACTGTTCACTGTGTATAACAGAAACGGGAAGAGGGAACTAACCAAAATTAAAATGGGGAGCAGTGTGTGTGACAGGTAACATGGAGCTGAAAAATGTAGTATAAAATATATATAGCTCCATGTATTTACCTGTGCAAAACAGGTGGCTCACGGTAACCTACAGCCCTCAAGTATTTGTGTGTCTGTCAGGTACTAGGTGGCTCCACCACTTGTGTGTGTGACAGATTGTGCAGTATGTGAAAGAAGGTGACCATACTGCACTTGCACCTGTAAAAGGCAGCAGATGCCCTGTGGAAGCGAGTGTGAGGCAGAACTGACTTGTCCCAGGAGCAGAGGCAGCACCACTCTGCACAGACGTGCCATGCAGGGTGATCCTGGCTGCGTGTGTACAGGAAAGCTGTATTTGTAAAGACAACCAGTTGCTTAGATATGTCCACATGGCTCAAAAAGCCATGGCCTGCTTGTGAGAGTAGTGATGAAAAAGAAGATGGGCTTTATCACAGACAGGCGGCAGAAAACCCTCTGTGTGGGGAAAAGGGAGAACTGACTCCATGGAGTCTCCATGCACAAGCAGAGGTAGTAGAGGACACCCTGATACTGTGGCAAACTGGGTGTGCTGAGTGTGTGTGTGGAAGGGAAGTACCCAGTGGGATTCTCCAGGATGTGTTGCACTGTGTGTACACACACACACGTGAGTGATGAGGAACACCACGTGCAAGCAGGACTGTGCTGGTGTGAGCTGCAAGAAAGGGGCTGAAGGAAGATGTGTGTCCAAGAAATAGGTGGCAGGGAAGTTGTGACATGTACACACAAAGTGGAGTGCACACAGGTGTGTACAAATGTGTGGCAGACAGCAAAGACACTACATGCAGTAGGACCACATGTGTGTGTCACAGTGTACCACAGTGGCAGAAATGCAGGCACCACAACACACTGAGCACACACACACACACGTGCAGTGCGGCTGGGTGGCAGAGCCCTACAACATGCTGGGGTGAGTGTGAAACGTGTGTGAAAGTGTGTGTTCAGCAGTGAGTGTAAAGGACACAGGGGCAGAGGAGTGAGGGTGTGTTAAGGGCACACAAGGGACACTGTGGGCTATGCATCACTGTGAGTGTGCCTACAGTGGGCACATAAGTGGGCAGCAAGACACCCTTGGGTGAAGAAGCCCCTGTGAGTATGCTTCATATGGCTGTTCTTCCTGCCAGGTACACACACAGGCAGGAATGAGGTACCTAGCAGGAAGTGTAAGTGCTTTGAATGTGCATGCATGCAGGAGAGTCAAAATCCCTATGAGGGTGTAAGAGGCCAGGTTGTGAGGGATAATCTTGGAAAGGTGCATACAAATGTGCCTACAAGTGTGAGCACAATTAGCAGCACAACCATGAGTGTGTGCAAATGCCTGGCACAATGTAAGCATGTAAATGCCTATAGCAGCTGAGCAGGTAAAACAGCAGGTAAATCCTTGAAGCATGCAAGTGTACACGCTGCGAGTATAGGAGTAAGTGCCTCTTAAGAGTATGGAAGTGTGAGACTTTCTGGTGCCAATGCATGTGTCTGACAGCCAGGGACACTGGTGTAAGTCTGGCTGTGACCTGGCTGCAGGCAGGCAATGAGGGTCACTCTGGGGGTGTGCGTGTGTGTAACTGCTCACAAATGTGCCTGTCAGGCTGGGGTCTATGTCTGAGTGTGTGTGTCAGGCTGTGTGAGCAGGTCAGCATGCACAGGAGTGTATGACGTGTCACTTGGGGAGTTCAGGTGTGTCTGAATGTCTGAGGGCTGTGAGGCTGTGTCGGGGAGTGTGGGGGTGTCAGTGGTGTGAAGGGGTCAGTCAGGGAGAGGGTCAGCTGGTGTCAGGTGTCAGTCAGAGTGAGGGTGTCAGAACTGTGAGGGTATCAGTCTGTCGGTTGTTGTGTGGGTGTTAGAGAGTGTCAGTCAGTCAGAGTAAGGCTGTCAGTTGCTGCAATGCTGTCAGACAGTCAGCGTGATGGTGCCAGAGTGAGGGCATCAATTGGTGTGAGAGTGTCAGTCAGTGCAAGAGTGTCCGTCAATGAGAGGGCGTCAGTCGGTCTGTGGGAGAGTGTCAGTCAGTCATTGTGCGGGTGCCAGCCGGTCAGTGCCTCCCGCGCCACCCCCGGCCCGGCCGCGTACCCCCGCAGCCCCGCCGCCCCGCACAAAGCCGCGCGGTCCCAGCCGGACACTCACGTCCCCCATCCACAGGCTGGCGGCCATGCTGCTCCCGCAGGCCCCGCGGCGGGTTCAGCGGGGCCGTGCGTTCCACCTCCCGGCCCGGCCCGGCCCGGCACGGCCCCGCCGCCGCCGCCGCCCCTCCTTCCGTTCCACCCCCGGTGCCCCGGTCCCTCGGTCCCTCNCGCGGCCCCGGCGGGCGGAGAGAGCGGCGCCCCTGCCGCCGCAGCGGCCCCTGGCGGCAGGAGGAGCGACAGCCGCGGGGGCGAGCGGGGCCAGGGCGGCGGTTTGGGGCAGCTCAGGGAGGCCTGGGGCAACTGCAGCTGCCTGAGGGGAGGCTGGAGTGAGGTGGGGACCGGTCTCTTCTACAATGTCTGCAGTGAGAGGGCAGCAGGAAATGGCCTTAAGCTGAGACAGGAGATTCAGATATCAGGAAAAAAATCATAGCGTATGTTGAGCTGGGAGGGACACACCGGGATCATCGAGAACAACATTTAGCCCTGCACAGGACATTCGAACAATCCCACCCTGTGCCTGAGTGCATTGTCCACACGCTTGCAGTTATGACCATTGCCTGTAGACCCTGCTCAGTGGCCCAGCACCCTCTGAGGGAAGAACCTTTTTCTGATATTCAACCTAACCCTCCCCTGACACAGCTCCATGCTGTGACAAGCACTTTGGTCATCTCTTCAAGGCACCACTGCTGTCAGAGCTGGCACAGGGTTTACAAAATCGGGCTGTTTTTGACAGTGTTGAAAGGGCAAAGACTTGTGGTGGTGGGGGTTTTTTTGTTTGTTTGGTTTTTTTTGTTTGTTTGGGGTTTTTTTGTTTTGTTTTTTTTTTTTTTTTTTGTGGTAGAGAGGTTGGATTGTGGATGCGGGGTTGGATTGGGTACGGTGTGATCCTCTCCTCTTGTTTGCTTCCGCAGGCCTTCGACAGCGAGGTGGCAATTCCCGAAGATGAACCCCCTGGTAGCGATGGAGCAGAGACGAGTGAGCCTGAGAACTGGTTGGTATTTTCGGCATCCCCAGAGCCGGTTGGAATTTCGGCACCTCCCGTCGCGGGTGAGCCCTGTGCTCTGTCCCTGGCTGTGGTTGAGCAGGCGCTGCCGCACGCCATGGATCCAGCTCAAAGCCTCGGCGCTGTTTTCGCCGCGGTGGCTCGGGCTCCGGGCGAGCCGGGCGGTGCCTCCGCCTGCGGTATCCCGGGAGAGGGCAGCAAGAGCCCGCCGGTGTCGGGTGGAGGTTTTCCGGTGCTAGCATTGGGCAGCTTCGTGTGATGGAGCCAATTCTGGAACTCCTTCCGAAGTGATGTGTTAGCGCTCGCTCAAGTCTTGCCCCACAACATCCTTCTTCCATGACTAAAAGCGGAAACCCACCGGGAGGGGAGCGGAGAATTCTTTGCTCTGCTTTCCCTGCGGGCAGAGCAGGGCACGTTTGATCCTTCCTACATTCCTGCAGGAGGCAGTGAGAATCCTTCATCCTCATTCTGAGCAGCATCTCTCATCATGCTGAAGCACGGCCAGTAACTTTGGCTGCTCTAGAATATCAAGTCTTCGGGGGTGCAAGACATGAGATTAACGGTTTATGTGTTTTCTGACTTCGGAGTCCTTAGAGCACCCTCAGATAATTTTTCTCCAAGCTCCTCCCTAAAATCTAAAATCTAGCATGAAATCAGAAAGGCAGTAAGACCCACAGTTGATAACTCAGCTGAATGAAGACCTTGGGTTGTCAAGTTGCACTTTTTGTGCCTTGGTGTCAATGGCAACCTGGTCTCTTGCAATTTCACCCCCTTTGAAGCCCCTGCTGCGTCTGCCTTTCAGATGTCAGCTTCCAGAATGGTTTTATGTTCCCAACATGGCAATTTATCCACTGGTCAACTTGGAGCTCTGCTCTGCAGAGCCCGCAAAGCTGTCTCTCATGCTTGTTATTACTTACAAAAGCCAGTAGTTGTCATTTGATGAAGTGAGTCCACTGTCTTTAATAATCCCTTTCTGGCTTTTTCCTTCCAACTGAGTAATACAAAACTTGCTTTACCTAGGATAATCCATAGGCATGGATGTTGGGCAACGAAAATGCAGAAGGATGTGATTGTGTTGGACCAGGAGAATAAAAGTTTAAATTCAGTGTTATATCTGAAGTGACTGCTGTTTATGCACTTAACCTTGTGACAGAGTAAAAATAGTGCCAGGAGCATGTTATTACATGAAAAAGTGTTTATTTCTCTTTAAAAAATTTATGAACTGACAAAGAGGCCATGAAAGGAAGATGTAGGTATTCCTCTGTCCTGAGGGTGAGTGTCAGCAGTTAGCAGCCAAAATATATGTGTCCCTTGTTCCCTTTGCTGGGACAACAGGTATTCCTGGATCTAGGAACTTGGTCCTGAAAACTGCTGAGTGAATTCCAACTAGTGTTTACTGGAATCCACTGGAGGGGTGATCCCTTAGCCCACTTTCATCTGGTCTCTGGGAGCTGTAGCCTGTTGGAAGCCTCAGTCCTGGAGGCTTCATAGCTCTTTCAACCCTTGGTAACTTCGATTGGCATTAAGGGTCACTCAGTACCTCCTGGAAGGAGGCCCTGACTGCTTTCAACTTTTAAAATTAATGGTTTTGATCTTTAGAATCTTGCCTGGGAGATTTTAATTTGAATTTGCTCGTTTTAGCTCAAACTTGAAACTGACTTAAATGGGTTTTGTGCCCTCAGTACTGGATGTTACTGTGTTAGAACCTTCCCTTTGTTGGTCTTGCAGGTGCAAGTCAGTTCTTTTTCTTAGGCAACTGTATGCAGTGGACTGAGATCAGGGATTCATTTGGCCAGGGATAATTGAAATCATAAATAAAACAAGTCAAAACAAAAAATAAAGCAAAACTTCGAGTTTGGAATAACTTCTGAGATTCTGAAAGTAATTGAAGTAATCCAGAAGAAAATATGCCATGAAATCTGTTTTCCATTATTGCCTGACATGGTATGTCTTAAAATTTGATCAAATCAATTTTTTCATTATGAAGATAATGTCGCTTAAAGTGATGTAGAGATCTGGGGTCTTTTTCAATGTAGAATTACAAATTATTGTAGACTTGAGATTCTTATTTGTTTGTTTGTTTATTTATTGATGATTCACAGTTCCTGTCATGATCTCACAACAAGTAAAAATAATTTCTGTTTGATTTCTAGCTGCCAGTAGTATTTTTGAAAGATGTTGTAATAAAAGTTCATTGATGTGTTTGTGCCTGCTAGCTTTCTTATCCAGACCCAGTCTCTTGTATATAGTCAAGGTGCATTGGGAGGGACTTAATGTCCTGTCTTGCATTCTATTTAAGAAAAAGTGCAGTCATTTATGTGAAGTCCTATTCTCATATTTATCTGTGGGTTTTGTGAGGTCCCCTAAAAAGTCAAGATAGAAGGAAAAGGACAGTCCATTCTTTTTGCTTTAAAGGAATCTATTTCCATCTTCAGTGGCTTCTGAGTGGGATGACTGTGAGCAACAACACAAGGAGTTCAGTGTAGGGAATAGCTGAGCAAATCCAAAAGTGGCGCCAGAGGAATTTATTCCCAGGGCTGTCAGTTTTGCTGTCTATGAGCATGTGTGCTCCCCATGCTGGTTTTACATTCCTGTTCCCACACCATCAGTCAATCCCCATTCCTCTGTAGTTTTTATCCTCTTCATATCTTCACTGAGGGATGTCCTTACTCACTCCTCAGAGAAAATTCTTTGGAGACCACTTCTATCCTCCACACGGATCAAATCATAGTCTGCTGTGTCTCACCAGGATTCAGCAAGGGCCATCTCAGATTGTGGATATAATTCACCAGGAAGAGAATAAAAAAGAGGACTGCTTTGTGTTTTCTTCATTGGTAATACAGGGAATTCACCCTCGAAGAATTTATGGAACGGTCAGATGGTCAAATAAGAGCACTCTGGGTGTTCACAGGAATAACTTACTACCTGGCAAGGCTTTTTTGTTTACATCCTCCATAAGGACCCCATGAAACAGATTTAATCCTGGGTCTGGATATTTGGTTGTGAGTAGTTCTTGGGATATCTGTCGGAATGTTTGTAGTCCATACACAGTCAGCTGTGGGATCCTATGATAACGATGTTTTAAGATAAAGTACATAAATGAGCTTTTTCATCCCACCAGTGAACATCCCAAAGTGTTCAGCTAATGGCTCAGTACAGCAGTTCTGATATTGCTGAAAACAATCCCCAGTCTGTTCAAACTGATTCTAAGGCAACAGGAAACACAGAAAGTCATGCAAGGGCCTTGTTTGAATGGAGCCAGCGCAGGAAAGGGCACAGTGCAAGGCTGGCAGAGAAAGAGGGAGAGCTGGAGGCTGAGACAGTGGATTCATCAGGGCATCCGTGCTGAAAATAGCATGGCTGGAAGATGGCAGTACCATCAGTGATCAGTTTTCACTGCAGGAGCTGGCACAAGTCTCTGCTGCACCCTTTGCACTCAGGTAGGCGCCTGTGTGCGTGTGTCTGTGCATGTAACTGTGTAGCAGTGCAAAATGTGTGGAGAAGGGCTGCTCTTCACTTTAGGCATCTAATTGAAGCACATCAAAAAGATGCCTGGAGTTAAGGAGCTGAATCAGGCCTCTTTTCTCTTAATCCCTTCTGTAAAATGCAATTAAAAGCACTTTCTCTGCATTCCAGTTTGACCAAGCTCTAAGCAGTGTGTGGAGTGTTCAGGGTTTTTTTCACTGACTGTATTTTGCACTCTGTAAGTTAAAATCTGGACTTGTGTAGAGTGTGGTACCCATGTCATGAGGCCTTGGCAAAGCTGAGTATGAGGTGGCAGAGCAGAAGCATGTGGTGGTCTGGTCCCAGTTACGTGACATTTGGCTCTACCTGCAGCCTTAAAACTGAGCTGGAAACACAACATCAAGTGGAGATACCTGGAAAAGTCTTACATGACCCCACAAATGGTCAATGATGAGAAAAATTACACTTGAGGGATTCATGGCTGCATTTCTGGAGAAGTTACAAATCTATCCTTGCCCAGATAGGGCTGCAGAAGCACCAAGAAAGCTCCTCAGAGACCTATCCCTCATCTCTTTTGTCTCTTCAGAAGCTTGTGCAGTTGATTTTTTATATATTTGTGATTCATTTCTTCCTGTGAGTCTGGAACAGGTAGATCAAGTTCTCCTGGACAAGCAAGGAAAACCAGAGTGGGTTTGTAGGAATGGGAATTTACTCAGTGGTGACACAGCAGAGATTGACGTGGAGTTTTTAGGGGACCACAGTTTAACAGTTGGTGCTTTACTTTGTAAAAAAAAAGAAAAAAAAGAAAAAAAAAACCAACAAAACTTTTTATCCTACCATATATTAGCAGTAAAGTCATGTGAGGCACAGGGTGATTAATTGTGCTGCTCTGGGAGTCTTTGGTGCACTGAGGGAGAGAAAAACACACTGGAGAACAAAGGAGACGCAAAAGAACAGGTAGATCAAGATCAAGACAAGCAAGGAAAACCAGAGTGGGTCTGTAGGAATGGGAATTTACTCAGTGGTGACACAGCAGAGATTGACGTGGAGTTTTTAGGGGACCACAGTTTAACAGTTGGTGCTTTACTTTGTAAAAAAAAAAAAAAGAAAAAAAACCCAACAAAACTTTTTATCCTACCATATATTAGCAGTAAAGTCATGTGAGGCACAGGGTGATTAATTGTGCTGCTCTGGGAGTCTTTGGTGCACTGAGGGAGAGAAAAACACACTGGAGAACAAAGGAGACGCAAAAGAACAACCAGAGGTCTAAAACTCTGGTGCTATGGAGAAAGCTGGAGGAACCAGATTTATTTAATCCAGAAATCAAAGCTAGAGGGTAGGATTTGCTATGGACAGTCTTCCAGTGGTGAAAGGTAAGAGGCTGAATCTGTTCTCTGGCTGCTGTAAAAAGGATGAGGAGGTGCTGAACTTCCAGCATAACACATTTCAAGAAAGTTTTTCCAGGTTTTCTCTTATTAGACAGAAGGCCTCACATGGGTTTTTTTTTGTGGGTTTTTTTACCATAGCAGACCCCCTGAATATGGTGTCCATGTGCTAGGTAATACATGTGGAAACTGGATCGTGTCTTTGAGGGAGGAAAGATTGCTCCTCTGGGCTTGGGATGAGATTCAGTGGCATTGGGAAGCAGGGAATTTGAATGGGTGGGAGAGGTAGAACTGCGCACAAGGATCTGGCTTGCAGTAATGTCCAGTGCCATCTGCAAATCTCCCACGGACTCAGGGAATTTTCACATTTATGATACAACACTGGAACTGACTACACAGAATAAACCAGAATAAACTCCCAAACTGACCATTTCTGTGGATGAGATAATCACAGTTACAATTACTGGATAGATGACCTCAAGGGAATTTTCTAAAGATTTAACCCTTATATTTAAAAAACCCAATCAGTCCTAAGGAATGGGGAAGGGAGGGGAGATAAGATGATATCCACACCTCTTCCAGGATGGAATACCTGTGGGTTTTGCACACTGCAGGGTCTATTAAGTCTGTAAGGCTGATCTAAGATTATCTAGGCAGAGAAAATTCAATAAATCCCTGAAATTCTCTGGATTTGATGGAGCAGTACCCATTTTGGGACCAGCGGGGGAATGTTCTGCTCCAAAGAGGCCAGCTGAATGGATTACTTCAGTGAACAGAGAGACACTTGAATATATTCTTAATTGCCAACCATCCAGTTTACCAAGATCTGCTTTCTTAGAGGTGGTTTGTCACTTAAAAAAAAAAAAAAAAAAAAAAAAAAAGAAAAAAAATCAGAGAAATCAAATATTTATATTGCTTCTTTGATTCCAGCGAACATGGATGAGGGAATCAGGGTGGGAATCTGGAAAACTTTTCTCTAAAGTTTAAAGGGATAAAGCCTTGCTGTCTGAACTCTTTGGCTGGAGGTTCCAGAAGTAAATTGTATTTTTCTTATTTCCACTTGCAAGGTTTCCATCGGGCTCTGGGAGAGGAATACAGTAGGACAATTTTTCTTGATCTTGCTCCTGTTTAATGAATACTGAAAAACTGAAGGGAAGGTAGAACTCCCCTCTTTTTTTCAGGCTAAAAGCTCAACAGGTTTTCAGAGGCTTGGGCTTTTCAACAAAGGTTTTCTGTGGGATTTTTGATTTTTAAATTTCAACCTGCTTTCTCCTATTTCAATGTTCTTTGTATTGAAGATATTTTGAGATAATTTCAAATCCTCTGAAGTGGTTTTCCAGGTATTCTTTGGCTTTGATGGAAGAGAATTAGTGTCCATATCAAAGGCATTCAGAAAAATTAATAATTTCCTTCTTTTGTGTGGCAGGGAGGTTAATGAGGCCACCAATGCTGAAGCTGGCCCAGGGTGAAGAGCTTTGATCTCCCTGACTGGTTTTGATTGTTTGGAAGCCCTAAAGCTCCTGCCTTTTCCATGGAGTGGTGTTGCTTTCAGAATTACACCTCCCTATTCAGCACAGGGCTGGACCTGAGGAAGCACAACAAAAACACCTATAAAGCACCTAGTTTAATGTTCCTGCCTCCCTTGTTGCCTGTTTTTGTACTGAAAAATTGTGTCCAACCCCATCTGATGGGATGAAGTTCAAGAGGGAAGCAGAGACAAAAGATCCATCCCAGACAGAGTCAGTCATTTAAACCCCCTGTTTTCCTATTTATAGTGAGTTATTGGTTCTTGGACAAGATGGGATTTAATGGGAGTCTGGTGTGATTCAGTTCTTTAACAAAAGCATCCTTTCTCTGAAAAATTAGTTACTCATTTGTGCTGAATGAGGAATGAAAAACAGAATTTAAGGATCTAATTAACATTTGCTTCTCCTTTCAACAGATCAGTCTTTACACTCATAAGCTTGGTGATAAAACTATTTTCAGTTACTTTCTATTAATCTGAAAATCTTCCAGCCTCCACAGAATCTGAATTTCCAGGTCCAGAAACCAAATATGCTACTTTTATAAAAGGACAAGTGTAATTTTTGCATGCAATTGTATTAATTTTTAGCCCAGCAGTGATTACTGTATGTGCTAGAAGTACCTGTTAACATTAAACCTCATTCACAAATCTTGTGTTCTGACATAACTTGAGTGGGCACAGTTTAAAAATATTTTTTTTTTATCCTGATTTAGCATATTCCCACATAGGAATAGGTAACACACCATTATGACAATCTGATTCTGTCTAG